GGCCCCATATAGTGCGAAATATGTCCATATTTTTTTCTATATGTTTTCACACTCATAACCATAGAGAATACCTTAGAGTAATAAAATATATGCATTATCTATACTGATAACCAATAATATTATATTATTATATTATATACTAGCTGTCCGTTCATGTAAACATTTGTCATGACCTAGATATGAGGGTAATTTACTGTTTTTGTTCCAAACATATTATGTAACTAAATCCTGTATTATTTGAACATAATAAATTTACAATTTAATTATATACCTATTGGAATATATTATGTAAGTAGTTACTTGAAAGTTTATATTTTAAAATCACGGGCATCCATAGAAATTTGCCACAGACAAATTTAACTTAAAAATGTGCAGGTCAAATTCTTTTACATCAATATATCGTTTACAAATAACAAATGCTGGAAGAGCCTTATCTGATCTTTCACTGATTAGTGACCAACAATGTTTATAATTATTTATTGTCCATTTACATAATTATAATATCATTCATATAATGGAATGTTACACAGTACCTCAACCTACATTTGATACCTTAAAATAAACTACCTGTTATAAATAATTGTCTAAATAATAAATATTACATTTTATAATTAGGTATAATATTTATATTAAATAGGTACATATTATCAATACATTTTAATCAACACTAATTTGAATAAAAGTTAATTAGATTCAAAATAAAATTCTAAAAAGTGAAACTCATTGGCTGTGAACACTGTATGCTAAATATGCTAAATTTTATTATATGGTTACAATTTTACTTCAATACGTATTTATTTTGTTTTTAATTTTTTTTGTTCATGTATTTATATCAGAGGTTCCCAAACTTTTTTTCCCTGTAGACCACGTGCCAATTATTTCTGTTTTTTATAAACCCCAAATATTAAATGTTTACAAATTCATCAATGTATTTTTAACAGCTAATACGGAGCTACTCACTTGAATAAGGTTTACCATGGAGTGAAACATTTTAAAATAAAATACATGTAAAGTTTTATTTTATTCATATCTTTATTTCTTTATTAATGACAATATTTATTTAATTTTTTAATTATTGAAACGACAGGAAATCCAAGTTCAATGTAATACGAAAAAAAAATAAAAATTATATCTTTAATGGGAAGGATGAGTCTGATGCTTTGGTAGTAAATTATCAATATTTGGCTTCAGATTAGTCAGGTTTAACCTTAAATCTCCTCTACCAGTGATTTCCAATCTGTTTCTTTTTTTGTAAGAAGATCGGCAACCGTGTTTTATTTTTGCCTTAATAACTATCGTAGATCCCTATTTACACCTCATGCACCCCAAATTTTCTTTTTCGTTGGCATGGACCCTTGCAGGTTAGAATCAACCTCAGGGGGTCGATATCGACTACTTTGGAAACCTCTGATTTATATAAATACTTTAATACACTGAAAATAAACATGATTATATCTTAATTTTTTAAATTTTTATTGCAAAAATCATTTTTGACAAACTATCAATTTTAGCACATTATTTTTATTTTTTTTTCTATCAGCACCACTAAGTTGTTTTGGTTCATAATGACTGCCGAATAGTCTATGGTCATCTATGGTCTTACTGTAGGATGAATTCTAATGAATTCACTGCTAAGTGTAAACTGCAAAGTATATCAACTTTTTATAATAATGTTTTTTTGTTTTTGTATTTGTAGGTCGTCGAATAACAACAAAGACGATCAAAAACGTTGGAAGCCGTTTGAAAAAGACAATCGTGAAAGACCGGTTGCAGTTGTTAAACCAATGCCGAAGTAAGTATCAACTTTACCCAAGAAACAAAAAAATATTTTATAAATAATTGTCAAATATTTAATAATTACAAAATATTAGTACTTAATTGATAATATATTTTTAATAGAAATATAATGTTTATTGTTATCTAAATTAATATTATTTTTTAACACTTTAAAATTAACTAAAATACACAATCAGTTTAATATTTAATATTGCACAATGTCTGCAGGGGTGTACCGTAATTTTTAGATAATATTGTAAAGTGGCTTTTCAAAGTGCCTAAAAAATATAATTATCTGAGTACTCAATAAAAAGTGTGTAGGTATATAGCTATTAAAACCTATCAGTTTATGAGTATTTTATTATTACTTACTATTACTATAAACTATACTATTATTTAGTGTTTTAAGATATTATATCACTGTCAATTTTATAAATTATAACTTACTTAGTTATTACATTTATTTTATTTTTATTTTAGATTCAGCGCGTAGTGATAGATTTTGTTCCTTTTAGCACATAGCCACTTCTAGAGTATGTCGTTTTTTGATATCGAAAGTATATTTCATAATCATAAGTTAAACCAAAAAAGATGAAATATACAATTTTTTTCAAATTACGGAAAAACGATTTCATTATTTTAATTTTTACGGCTTATGTTCTCTACCATAAATATTGCTCCAATAGATAAACAACAAGAAAACTTTTGTCGCATATTTAATCTCGTTCACGAATAAATTTTTCGTTTTTTTGTTTCAATTTTCTCTTCTGTAGTTAATTTTTCTTAAACTAATTTTTAATAATTGTGCATAATTAAAAAAAATAAAAATAACGGGAAAGTATTTTAAATTTTATTTTATCGTTTTTATTCAAGTTAAAATATTCATAGAGACTTGAAATTTTAACAGAAAATGTATGCTGACTTTACTAGATTTGATAAAATTTTCAAAACATTTGAGTTATTTTTGAACTATTTATAAACATTTTAATTTCGCGAGTTTTACTTAAATGCTTAAGAATTTAACAGGAGATTTCTTAATAGTTATAGTTCGTGGTAAAAAAAAAAACTAAACTTAATGTAAATTTTTTTTTTATATAAAACAATTTTAATATCAAATTTTGATAAAAATGGGTTGTGTAAAAAATTATTAGGAACAAATCTAATTATTATCAACTTCATCTGAAAAAAAAAATTGCCCTAGATAGAAATATTAGTTGTTAAATTATATTTAAATTGAATATCAAATAAAAATTTGTATACATTTAATATATTATCATCCTTGCTTTTTTATAATTATATATAATAATATAAAATGTGTTAAAAATTATTTTAAATATTTAATAAAGCTCTTTTTATCAACATTAATATTTATATTATTTAAATTATTGTTAAGTATTTATTACAAACTGAATTAATTATATTTAATAGTAATTAATTATATGCTATATAATTATTATTGTGCTATTAACATTAATTTTTAACATTTTACTATTTATTTAGAAATATTGGAAATTAGATATTTATTAACGTGTATCATTAAAAATTACCAGGCAAGAACCCAAACGCCCACCTCCAGTTGTACCATTTATTTGGGGTAGAGGCACCAGTAACAGTGGCAATAGTAGTAGAAATAATTGATCGGGCCATGGAAAAGGCATGAGATGATTGTGACCAACCAGATACTGCAATCTATCTCAATGACCATAACAACAACTACTGGATCTGAGATATATTTTTATATTAACCATAATCATTATTATACAATTATCCATATGATCATATTATACTATTATTATTATTATCATCATTATTATTATCATCATTATTATTATTATCATTATTATTATTATTATTATTATACTTATACAAATCTACATTAATTTTTGTTTGGCATTATTTTTTTTACAAATCTATCAATAAGAATACTTAAAATGTGTGTATAACAGTTATTATTAGTTTAGTACATAGATAATCTTATAACAATAAGATTCCTAATGCATACTATACTAAATATTCAATGAGTATTGGGAAATTAGCTATTACGCACAATGTTCAAATATAATCAACATTAAGATTATTTATTGGGCACACACATCACAATTTAGCAATTTAACACATAAACAGTGTGAATAATGAAATGTTTAAAATTCTATACATCACTTTATGTATTTTATATTATAAATTGTGATAAATAGGAAACTGAGATTTTGATGCCAAAAATGACTAAATACTCAAAAAATGCACTATATAACTGCACTATACTTGAAAGTTAAAAAAAATTATGTCAAAAGTTTATTTTTTATTTTTTGGAATAGTTTATTACACCATTTGTATTCTAAGTTAATTACAAATTAATTACTTCTTAACCATTAATTCTTGAATAATAATTTAAAAAATACATTTTAACATTTTAACTTTTTTTAGCTAATTTTTACCTGAACAAAATAGTTGTTGTACTGTATTATGAAATACTGTTTTATATTTTCAAACAAATATAATAATGTGATTAGTCAGATTATAGATTTTTGTAATTAGAACAAATTTGTCAACCATTCTATTGGAACATATTTAAAATACAAAAAATCGTCCACACTGATAACTTCTGGGATATTTTTTACTTTAGATATTCCACTTAATATCTAGAATCCAATCAAGCATTGCACTATCATATGACAATCTCATATTGTTTTCTATAGTATCTTTCAACTTTGTCCACACTTGGTCTTCCAAGTGTGCAGTTTTTATTAATTTTTACTATTAGGAAATTCTTTAATGTATTTTCATCAGCTCTCATACATGTCCTAACCACTCTAGATGTTTGCATCTTATGTGTGGAAGTATATTGAGTTTTACATATAAATCATACGTTATTAAATACTTAATGCTGTTTACTTATAAAGATTAAGTATGGCAATATTAAGAATAAACAGAACTTATTGTGAAGTTTTTGGTTGTAAAACATCTTACTCTATCAATTAAAATATTAGTTTTCATGTATTACTCAAGAAAATGCAACAAAGGTTTTATGGATTAAAAAACTTGAAAAAGGAGAATTACAGGTGATGGATATGGTCAGTTAATCTGAGAATAAGAAAAGATACATTAAAAGAAAAACTCAATATATAGTGAGTTATCTTCATTTCACCGATAATGAATTTGAATTTGAAAAAAATGAAATTTTATAATTAAAAAAAATTATATAAATACAATTTATAAAACAATGTGTGAAAAAAAATTTTAAAAAAAATACCTATTTCATTATTTCGTTACATCATAATCAGTGTACTATCATAATATGAGTCCCACATCAGTTCAGTGGAAAATCTGCCACTCATAGTAAAAGCAGTGCTACCTAATGTTATTTTGTTCTCACAATATCAATTTATAAAAAAAAATCTACTAATTGATACAAGTAACAATATAATAATATACATATATTAAAATGTATAAATAATAAACTCGAAATAGTAAAATAAATGTTTAATTACATGAGATATATTGGTTTTACAAAGATATTTTTTTTTTTTTTATATATTGTAACAAAAATGTCTACCAGTAATCTTACCTCGAAATGTATGTGTGGCACTATTTTTTAAAAGAAGTATTGTTTAGAATCTAGATATTTCAAAGTACTACCTAGAGTCTAGATAATACTTTAGGAGATCATTTTTTGATCAATATATTGTGTTTGATTTTTTCATTTTCGCTATTTTGGAGATGCACTATTACATAAATATAATAAAAAAAAAAGATGTGCATGCTTCCCACATGGGTGCAGTCACTGTTGTAGATAAGAAATTGGGAAGGTAGGATACAGAATGGAATTTAATGTATACCTGTAAGGAACGATAAACCATTGCTAACTAAATAACCATTCTGAGCGAAGTTCAGTTGATAGTGAAGTTCTGTCATCAATAATATTATATATGTCATATTAGACATATAAACTTTTCAATGTTTTTTTTTTTTTTTTTGATTTTTCACATTTGAAAAGAAAACTTCTGAGGAAAAAAAATGATCTTTTTAAAGTACCACCCAAGGATAATTTCCTTTCAGAAAAGGGTTAAGTAAGCTTTCTGATAGACTGTGTTCATAAAGTGTTTATATTTTCCATTAAAAAAAAATTAAAATCTTTGTAAAACCAATACATTCTTTGCTACGCTCAGAATCTAAAATGTGAACAATAGTATACAATTATTTCAATATTTATTCATTTTATTATTATGGTTATTATGTCCATCATATACATATAAATAGATATTCAAAAAAGTGTTAATAAAGAAATAAATTAAAATACAAATCCATTTTTATAACTCACACTAAATTAGATATAAAAAAAATGTTAAGAAATATACATTTATATTGAAATTTTGACATAAGATTATGAGCTTTTCATTGGTATCAAGTTTGTTGCAGATTTCTTCAATTTTCGCTCATCTGAAATAAATAATTTGTAACATCATCTCATTAAAATTAAATACATTTTTTTAATTATTTTACATGATACAACTTACATCCTTTCAAAATAACTGAGTGACATCCATAAGTGATTGATTCTTTTGATTGATTCGTGGCAAGTCCTAGAGTAAAACCTCTGAATTCACAGTTAAGTAATAATATTAAAATTTATATTAGATATTTTGTGCTGTTTTTTTCATTCTCTTATTAATTGTGTCACTTTTTTTATTTGTTAGTAACTAGTTTTAGTAATAATATCCTGTCCTAGGACAATGAGGTGCAGCCACTGTTGTTAGTGAGAAGTTGGGAAGGAAGAATAGAGAGGAAATTAGTTTGTATCTGTAAGCAACCATAAAACATTGCTTATTAAAAATACTATTCTGAGCGTAGTTCAGTTTATAATACTGCTGTCAACAATATGAATGTCATACTAATATATTATGGTAAAATAATTAAATAGGCAATATATATTTGAAGGACTACAGGAGGACACTAGACACTAATAGTGAAAAATAAATAAAAAATAGGATAATTATAATATTATCATATTGTCATTTGTTTCCAACCAAATTTATATGTCTTAAAAGTCTGTGATATAATAAAGGTTTAAATATACAGTTTAATAAGGATTTAATATAGTTCTAAAACTTTAAAACTGCAATACTGAACATTTTAGAAATATTGGCAATTATCATTCTTCCCTGTAGCCCTTCATTTTCTTTAATAATATTTGTTTATTGTACCCAATTTCCTACCCTTTTTCCATGTTCTTTTCACATTTTTCACATTTTCTGGGAAAATTCTTGGAAAAATCGAAAAATAACCTCCCTAAAGTACCACCTCAATCAAATTTCCATTTAGAAAAAGTACTAACAATGAAAATCCAAGCAAAATTTTTGGTAGAAAAGTTATCCACAATAGAAAAAAAAATCATAATATTTTACTAATTTATTTCATATATTTTCCCAGTTTTTTCTCAATCTTTCTCTTTTATTGGGAAAACTGCTGGAAATCAAACAAATTTTCTTTCAGAAAAGAGCCTAAATCGTATACATCAGAGTAAGCTTCTGGTAGAAAGTATTCACTTTAAAAGAAAAATAAACAACTTTGTAAAACCAATGCATTCTTCGCTCCACTCAGAATCTAAAATTATAGTTATAGTTTAATATTATAAAAATCTAATCTTAAGATTTTTTTTGTTTTAATTTAATTATAAAATATATATTTCTTAACTTGATTGTTTTTTTTTTTTTATTATTATTCCAATATTTCATGTGTAAAGTTAGGTAATTTTGTAACTGTAATAATTATGTTTACTAAATCATATTATTACTAGTAGGTATTTTTAAATAATTCAATTTTTATTTTTATTTCATTCATTTATCACATTATTGTAGCTATTCAAAATTAAAATGTTTTAATCAAAGGATACAAATTCATCACATCATATGGATTACGAATATCAGATTTATTTAACATTCCACTTGTAATGATAATATTCTGAAATTATTGTGAATTATTAACAAAGTAAATTTAAAATTAAAAATAATTACTAATTTACTTTTAATTTTCCTTTAATATGAAACAAATGAGCTAAAGTTAAAGTGTCTTGCCGGGTGACAGAATTCTTTAACATTTCAGCATAAGATATTTCAAAATAAATTTTATTATTAACTGCAACTTGGTAGTCCTTAGGTGTCATCATAGAATTTCCTTTACAAGTTATTATGTCAATAGATGGTGAAGTCACCAACTCCTAGTTGAAAACAAAAAAAAAAGTGTTTGACTAAAATCCAAGTTTTTTAATAAAATAATATTATAACATTTATAATATTTATTTATAAATAAAAAAAATATATACTTATTACCATAGACCTATTAACAACAACTATTTGTTAATAGGTCTATGTCTATTACCTATATTATAGTCTAAATATACATTTTTGAATTATTAACTACTACTAAATATATCATTTAGATATGACCAAGAAGACATTTGAGTTAAATTATAGAACTATGAAATTATCATTTAAATTATTTAATTTTAGTTTTGAAAAATTAATTACTGACCATAAATTTATTCCCAAAAATAATACTTAGGTAAATGATAATAATTAGATGTATAATATTAAATTAAATTTTGAAATATTATTACTTGGAAATGATACATCACATAAGCCCTAATCTTTACTAATGATTAAAGTTATACATACAAAACAATTATAGAATTTAAACTATACTCGTACCACACGCTACTCCTTTGCGCATCTATAATTAACGAATTTCGCGGTTTCGTGCCTACATTTCTTCTATTCTACTGCCTACTTACAGCTGTAAACTGCACGGCCAAGCGGAAAACAAGTTGTATACAGCGTACTAAAATAATAACAACGAAAATAATAACTCTTGGTGACTGTAACACATAGTAGGTACCTATATGTATGTTTTTACCTATACAACAATAATAAATACATACATTTGTTTAAATAATACCGAAAAAAAATTAATAAAAATACAAAATTGAAAACCAATTTCAGTTTGAATCCGATTCTGTTGTTGAACCTGTTCCCATTGTTAGAATATGACTTTTCTCCATTAAGTTCTGCATCCATAATTTCGTCAGTTATGTTGTCGACATCCCAAAATTTCTGTTTATCCTTTAGGACATGTCCCACAAAATTCGGTGTTATATGTTCCACCTCTCTTTTTAATTTATCTTCTATATATCTAAGCTTGAATGTGTTGTTATGTGTCCGAACATAGCTTTTGACAGATGACCAGGTGAGCTGGTTCAGCTCGCAGTGGTATGGAGGCAATCTTAATATGGTTTTGTTATTGTCTTTTAAGTATTCATCTATGACATATTGAGATTTCATTGTCTGGACTTTTTCCAATAACAGCGCTTTTATGGTTGGCTGGGTAACAATTTCACCTTTACTTTCCAACCAACTTATAATATCTTCTTTTTTCCAAGACATTACTGGAATTCTATCTTTCTTAACCGAATGACATGGAGCATTGTCCATTACAATTACAGCATTTTCTTTAAGTAATGGCAACATTTTTACGATCCATTGAAAAAAAGTATCACCATTCATTTCTTAGTGATAGTCTATTGAATTTGTTTTTGATTCGAAGCACAAAAGGCCCCCAGGGACAAAGCCATCAGTTGATCGGATGTGTAATACAATCAGCCGTTTAATTTTACCAGAGGGTTCTTTTTGTCCTGTGGTGAGGTCTCTAAGGAATGCATCACTTGGTGAATTTACCTTACTTTACTTTACCTTACTAGACACTTCACGGTTCAACCAAAAGCCATGTATTTTTCACCTAATGGCATTTTTATCGAAATTATCCATTTTTTGAAGGATTATATATCTCATTTTTTACTTATAAGGAGATGAAACTGTTCCTTCTTTTTTATATTCGGTCAAAGTTGTTTGTATGGTACGTTGTCCAATACTACTTGACATAAAAATTTTGACAAGCATCTGTCTATAGGTCAATCGGAGGCTGTCTGGGTTTTGAAGTTGTTGCCTGACTTTGTCTTTGTACAGTTTTATAATGATCTGCTTTTGAGCAGTACCAACAAACTAAAAAAAATAATATATTTGTTTAAAAATTAAGAATTTGCAATAGAAAAATAGTTATACAAACACTTACTTTTCCACAAGTATTTTTTTTGGAAGGAGAAATCTCAACGAGGTCCATGTTGCATTTAATAGTCTAAAAACTATGTACTAAAATAGTAAACACTAAAACAAGGAAAAATGAAAAACTTGGCTTATTTATGCAATAACATATAAACATAAAAACGTAGAACAATACAGTACACGCTGTATACACAATATGACAACGGTAATGGTAACGATAACGATAATGGCGGTAGCCATTAGTGAGCGATGGTGGTGCAGATGGTGGCGGCGGCGGCCAGCACTTGCATGAGTTTAGTGGTGAGAATGCAAGAGAACGGACAAATTTTGGTCAGTAAGTTTTAGCCCAGTAGCATTCTCTCGGTGGCACGAGTATAGTAAGAAGTTTTTATATAGCTAACTTTTTATTAACTACTATAATACTGTCCAAATATTACTACCTGGATAATTCTATCATCCAATGGTTCGACAGCTAGAATATTATACTTAGAGAAATTTCGAGAACTCACCTAAAATAAAATAACAAATTATTTATTTACTTTTTACATACTAATACAATATATTGCTTACAGTTTGTTGAAGTTGTCCAATATTTGTTATTTGTATTGTTAATCGATTGAGTATGGTCAATTTTAAATTATCCTAAAAATCCGTATAAATTAGAGAATGAAAAATACATATGGAACACCTATATCTTACCAAATGGCAAATTTATATTCAGTGTTGTTTGTTTCAATATTCTAGCAAATAATTAAACTATAGTTAAGAAAATGCACATTTGGGTGTAAAATTGGGTGATGATGTGACAATAAATTATACTTGTAAACAGTGGCGGCTTGTAGGTAAAATAATTAGTGGTGCACATTTAAAATATTGTATACAATAAGTACAGTCAATTCAGAAAACAGAAACTAAAACAAATATTTTATTGAAATATGAATATAATTGTATTTCTTTTTTTTATTTATAGTTGGTTCTTAGATAGAAATCTGCAATATATTTGAGAATAATGTTTGTTTTGTTACGTTTTATTAAACAACATTATTTATGGAATGAATGTAAACTGGTTCAGTCAGTATTTTCTATGGAGTATTTTTTGAGCTAACACAGTCTGCTGAACAAATTTAATATTATTCAAAAGAAATAATCAGTTCCTAATACATGATATTCTCCATCAGCAGCGACAGACGGCTGTATGGCCGCGGAAGTGAAATATTAATTTATGCACCAACACACCACAAGTCTAATAGTAATTGTGCCAGTAGTGGGAATGAAATAGTCAAATGTACATGTGTGACTAATGCAAAACTTTGCACTCTATGCACTCCATAGCTGCTGCCGCTGCATAATGTGTACAATGGCATGCCTATAACATTTGTTTTTCTCGACTTTTCACATTAAATATTTCTTTAATTCTATAAAATAAATAAAATACAAAATTTCATCCTATAAACCATCAAATTAATTTAATACTAGTGGATAGAATACCTAATAATTCACTAAATATTATGTTAACTATTTATATAAATAAATTAAAATAAGAGTTTATGTTTATAATTTACATTGTTTGCTGATTTGGGAATTGGTATCCAGTCTTGATCTTTATTAACTTCATCATTACATTCTGCAATTTTTCTTTTTTTTCTATTTGAGCTACCAACTCCCAAAAGTGAATAATTCACTGTAGTATTAACAGCAATTACTGAATATCCACCTACATATATAAAAAAAAGTACTTAAATTGTATACAAATATTATTATATATATATTGTAAATATAAAGGTATACGAATAATATGTCTGAAAATAATGTGGTTGTTCAGAAATCATTAATATTTATAGGTAACCATATTTAATAACCATTAAATAAAAATAATAAGGCATTCAAAAATGTATATTAATTTGATGAACATAAATTACAAATTCTTTTTCAATAATATTAACAAAAATATTATATTATTATAACATAAGTATCCTTATTATATAATTAAGTATGTTTTATGAGTTAAAAATGTATATTGTTCTATATCTAGTATAGAGCAACATTGTCTCAGTAAAAAGAACCCATGTAGTATGAATAAAATGTGGAGAACACATTTAGTGTTCTAAGACAGTACTAAGGTTCACATCATAATTTATAAAACACACCATATCATATTAACTTATATAAGTTAGGTTTAAAAATTGATACTGAACCAAGTTTTTTTCTAATTTTACAAAAATATTAGTTACTTACTGTTAACGTATGTATCGATAATACTGTCATTGATGTGCTCTACACGCAAATCACAATATCCACTTGGTACTTTCATCATTTTTGTAGCACTTGAAACATTTATATTAAATCATTACTAAAATAATACAAACTCCAAGATTAATGAAAATATATTCAATTTAGTTTTCAATGCATTCAAATATGAAGATTACGCTCGTGATTACACTTTAATCATGTACGTTAATCCGCTAGTTATATTTGATAAGAAAGCCCAGTGGTTCCCAAATTTTTATATAATGTTTCCTATTCAATTCCTGTAATTGTACTTCTACCATTTTAATAAGTTACCTACACAACTCCTAAAAATTATTTGTTCAACCCATTCTTAAAATCGTATTGCTAATGTTCATTTTTGTACCTATGTTGCCTACCAAGCTCCTGAAATTGTATTGTAATTTCTGAGTTTATTTATTACCTATCTAACTTTCAAAAATCTATTGCTATTGTTCAAAAAAATATTTCTTTACCTACCTACCAAAATTTAATTTAACACAAATATGTAATTTTGTATGTTACTTGGGGCGACATTACCCCAAATTTGAATACCATAATACCATAGAGGAAAGATCAACATTTTGTAAATAAGGATTTTGAGTTTAAAGTTTAAATTTGATCGTAATAGAGGACGTAGTAGATGTAATCTGGAGTTTAGTTTCTTTCTTTTGTCAAATATGTGGTCTTTCCAAGTTAATCGTTTGTCGAAAATGAGCCCTAAGTATTTAACTTGGTTGGTTTGAGGTAATAATTGGTTGCAAAGTTTGACTGGAGGACAATTGTTTGGGCGAAGGGAGAAAGTAATGTGNTTGTTATTGTGGGATCAAAATCGGAGGCTAAGATACAAGTGTCGTCGGCAAAAGTATTGAGAATGGTGAAAGAGGATGTAGGTATATCTGCAGTGTAAATTAGATATAAGAGAGGAGAAAGGTCACTTCTTGGGGCACACCGGCGTTAATCATATATTGGTTTGAAATTGAGTTGTTTAAATTTACTTGGAAAGAACGATGAGTGAGATAAGATTTGAGTAATTGTATAGTTGTATATTTTATTAAATAAACAAAAAAAAAAAACAAAAAATTTTATTTCATTATTAATAATGGTGCAAATAAAACGATTCTCTAAATTATATATTATTTTAGCCATTAAAATATATAAAATGTTTAATTTTTTTCAGCTTATACAAACTACTTAGTAGGTAAGTAGGTATTTTAATTTGATAATTTCACTAGAGTACCTACCTACTTTAATAGTAATAATAGTTGGTAGTCATTAAATGTTTTATTATCCATTAAAATGTTACTGATAATAAACAATTTTTTATTCAATTAATTATTAGTGTCAATAGCTGGTAAACTAACAATAGTGCATAACACATTTAGATTCCAAGCCTAGCAAGGGAGCAATTGGTTTGAAATTGCTGTTAATTATTATTATTTTTTTTATTATTTGTTCTAGTCTGTGAACATATTTTTTCCTAGTAAACTTGATCCGATCTTTCTGAATCGCAACTTTTGTGAAAACTCAAGTTGTCTAGATTGTATTTTAGAGAGGTCAATTTTCGATCATTAAACAAATATTATCAAAGAAAATATATAAAGCTTATTTAATTATTTTACTTTAAAATAACATATTTATTGTAGACAAAACATATTATAACGTCACTAATCAACTGAACTCCGCTCAGATTCAATTTTTTCGTAAACAATGGTTTATCTTTATTTTTATATAATGATCTATAAAAGTGGCTGCACCCAACCCCATTATTCTAGGACGTCTTTATTATTTTTCATTAATATCATTTTTGAGAGAGCTCAAACTATAACTAAAACTATTTGATGACAATCTTAATCAAACTTGTTCATTCTTCAATTCTATTCAATTGTCATCAAACCATGAAAATTCAGGAATATACAATTCAATTAATTTAAGATTGTGGGGTTTTTGCGAAACTCCAAATGTACTGAACAAAATTTACCTATAAAATCGTTCATACTGAAACAAAGCTTATATAAGGTTTGATGGTTTTACAGGATACAAATCATTATAGATAATACACTTATCACAACACTACTGGTAATTTTTTAATTTTTCCAAGTGTTTGCCCAGCAAATGTGAAAAACCGAGAAAAACATGAGAAAACTTGGAAAAGCGTAGGAAAAACTGGAAAATAGGTACAATATAAAACAAATATTATTAAAGAAATGTATAAAGCCTGTTTAATTATTTAACTATAATATAACATGTATATTGTTGACAAGGCATCATTATCAACTGAACTCCGCTCAGACTCGTGATGACAATCTTAACCAAACTTGTTCATTTTTCAATTCTATTCAATTATCACCAAACCATGAAAATTCAGGAATATATAATTCAATTAATTTACTAATATCAAGCTATTTATGTTGAAGGTGTGCCCACATAGCTTTCAATATCCTTATCTTAAGATATGATTAAATTTCTTATAATTGTCGTATATGTGATTCGCTAATAAACCTACCATTTTTCACCTTACCTATATAATAACTAAGTGTTAAACTATTTAAATTAATTTAATTTTTTTTTTCTTTAGTGATATTATGTAAATTACATATTATCTTAAATAGATACAATTTTTATGTATTAGACGTATTATCGTCATAATTTGTCAATTAAATACTAATTAGATATATTATATTAGGCTTAATATAATATATCATCAACCTTTATATAGTTGATGAAAAATACAGGATTTTTCTCATAGCTCTAATACCACAAACTCTAAAGTATCACTTGATCCTAGGGATATCTCTGACAGATGATTCAAAACAACTAAAGTTAGTAGGTTACCCTAAAACTCATTATGGTCATGGAATGAGGCATTTTTCTTCAAATTGGTTTCAAATATACAATTAGATTAAGTAAAGTAATATTAATGATGCTATTTACTGTTTTCCACATCAATTTTTTTCAAAAAATAATGAAAGACCCATGTTTATAAGTGAAAGATATAACAATTAGAAAAATGTATTGGATAAGAATAGTAGTTTGATAAAACACAGTTCGAGCAATGAACATAAAATATCCAATTTAATGTGGGTGTTTTATTTAAATATGAAAAATACTGGTAATATTTCTATCTTGAGGTTAAAGTTTCTAAATAAGAAACAATTAAGAACTTTAAGTGTATGAACATAATTGAAAACTTAAGAGTTAAATAATATCATAATCAGAAAAATACAAATTGCAAGAAATATTAAAGCAAAAGTTTTATTTCATATAAGCAGTGAAAAATTAATTGATTGATAATAACATTAAAAAAAAAAAAAAAAAAAGTATAAAATAATAAAAATTCTAAGACTTAAGTTGATTTAATGGGCAAATTGTTCTTAATTTAAATTTTAGAATTCTATTATTTACATAATTATAATGTTAAATGGTGGTTTAAATACTACTAAAACCACAGCTTCTTAGTCTAAAATAGTATGTATATAAATATGAGATTAACTAAATCTAAAGGACTCAAACATATTTTATTTATATTTTTAAAGTACAACATTGTCAAATCTACATTTGAATCCTGATAATATTAAAAAAAAGCATTTTTAAATTGCAAAATTAATTAATATTAGAATACTTAATTAATATAGTCAAGACTTGTGATGTCTTTGTTTAGATTGTTAAATTAATGTAATTGGCGAAATTGCCTATAGTTCTAATTAACAATTGTATTATTTTTATACATAATGCAAAATGACAGTTCAAATCCTACTAAAATGATCGATTTAAAGATGATTAAACCACAAATTCTTAGTCTATTTAATATTGATATATACTACAAATAAATATATATTTGTATATATACAAACTACATAGACTAAAGTATATTAATTTTTCGCGTACAAAATTCTACATTCAAATCAGTAAGATTACACACATTTTTAAGTTTAATAATAATAATAAGAAAAAATAAAATAAAATAATTTAAATGACAATTAAATACTTAAATAGTTATAATTTAAGTAAACAATATAGTACAATGAAATGTAACCTATATTAAATTAAATGTTTTCTGATGACTTTTGTAAGATGATTAACTTAAATCCCATCATTTATTTATAAAATGTATTATAGTATGTTTTGTAAAATTATATTTTAACCAAGCAAATAAAGGAATCTAATGTAATAAATTTACTATTTTTTCTATGTGGTTATTTTTGTAAAAGATATAATACATTCAATTTTTATATAAAGATTAATAAATTAAAATAGAATATAAATATTTTCCTTGTAGAAATATTGTTTAATAAATAAAAAGTTATGAATAGAAGCCTATAGTTTTAATATTACTATTTTAAATGTTAAAATACCAGTAATTTTAATGCTTGTACTAGGTTTCCCAAAATTAAAAACTTTTATGTGATATACTTAGAATTTGGCACTGGTTTACGTATAAATGCATGATTAATTCAATTGGCAATGTGATGCCAATTGAAATACAAAATTTAAAATAAAAATTTTGTGAATATAGCATTCTTATTGAAGTGGTAAATCATTGTCGATGCCAATATCCTGTAATTCTGGATATGTAGAAGGAAATAATAGTTTACGTAACAGTTTTCTATTTGCATATGTCAATTTTAGATGATCTTCAATTTCTCCCAACTCACTATTGACTACATCGGATGGTCTTACTTCATCTTCATTTGGTGTAAGTACTTTTCTTAATAATGTTATTGGCACTGGAAAGAGTACATTATCTTTTTCTTCTGGTATCGGGCGGCCACTATTTAAAACATCAACTATATGACTTCCCAATACATTTATAATACCTGTTGGCATTGGTGATTTTGTCATAGAAGAAGGCTATAAAACAAAAAAATGATATTAACAATTATTTGTTATAGTTACACTCTAAGGCTTTATAAGGTTCGAAGTAATTTTAAAAGCTAACAAATAACGATCATTATTAAGCTGTAGCAGTGAATTTTTGAAATAATAGATCAAAACAGTTTTTCCAACCAATCATTTTGAAGGTCATATTAAGCTTACATGGATAAAATATCAACTAATAAAATTTAAAAAAAAAAAAAATTATATTAATATAACCTAATATAATTAGGTATATAACATGATCATATTTTTGTTTAACCTAAAAGGCCTAAAGATTAAATATGTGGATCAATAATAAGATGGTTGGAAAAAACTGAGACAAAACATAAATCATGACTAGTTTTATTGTTTAATTCAGAGATACTTACTCTTTTGATAATTTCTGGAGTTTCAACAGTAGTAGTTGTTGTTTCATCAAATTCAGAAATATTTACTTCTTTTTTGGTAGATTTGCGTCTTTTTGAAGTTTTAACAGCTGTGGGTTTTTTTTTAATTTCTTCACAGACATCTATTTTAGAAGTGGATTTATATTTTTTTAAAAATTCTACACATTCAGCTATGTATGCCTCGTCTCTCTCTTTTTCACCTGGGATAAAAATTGAGTCAAACATTTTCATTCTCTGAAAACAAAATAAACATATTCATGAATAATATTTCTATACAATAAGTCCATTTATAATTCAAACGGATAGGTTAGTATATAAATATAATTACTTTTGCATTAAATTTATATTTATATTTATATTCCTCCTGTGGCATTGAATATTTGTGCATATTAATAGGCGGAAAGTCAACAGGATCCATTAATGTATTAGCATTCATGCTAGTTTGCACCCACCTTGCAGAGACAAGTGGGATTTTACGTTCCATCGCTGTAGTATATGTTTTAGTATACCCATCACGAAATACTACATGTGTTACCTTTAAACAAATTAGACAGTATAAATATATTTAATCATATTACATTTGAAATCACTTATTTACTTTGCGATTAAATGTTTTTTCAACTCTACCACCTAGATGAGCAATATAATGCTTTACGCCCCTGCCACTGCGATCATCATCCATTTTATAATCAACAAATGCATTAACACCTTAAACATAAGAATACTTAAGAATAAGTACAAAGCACTGTTGTATACTATTATAGTATACAATGTTAGTCTAAAAAAAAAAAAATCATTTACTACTATCATATCAATTAGTTTACAATTGATACGATCAACATTTTAATTCTAAAAAAACATACATCGGAATTCTAATAAATCATTGTACTACTTGTTTTTGAATAATTTATATTTATACTTTAGAGAAATTTTTTTTTCAGAAAGATTTTGAAAATGTAATTTTTAACAATATTCATTTATTATTGTAGAATAATATATTATGATTATGAATATGAATATATTATGATGTATGATATTTAAAATTTGCCACTAGTCATAGTTAAATATTAAAAGTTTACAATCTTGACAATTATTTTTACCAATGTAAAATTATTATAATATAATAGTATAGATATAAAATTATAATAATATAAAATCTATGAAAATATTATATAACATTGTCTATATTTAATTTTATAAAGAAATTAGTTTTGGAAATATTAGGACAAATTCAAAATTGACCAATAACAATGATCTCTGTAATAATAATATGACTTATGATAAAAATAAATGTATACAATATTAGTAAATTTTTTGAATGAGGAATGGAGAGATAATATAAAATTATAAAAATTGATTGGTAGGTTAAATGGTAGTCATTAGTTAATAACAAATTTACCTTTAAAAGTGAAAGGGTTTTCTCCCGGTTCTGTCATATTGATTTTACTCGGTTGAGGACTACTTGGTAAACATTGTACTCCACTAACATTAAGTGAGTCCTTTGATACAACTAAATTGTTACTCGAACTACTTTTATTAATAGCTATCACAGAGTTCAATTCTGTTTGTGTATTTTTTGCTGCTTGTACACTTGTCACTGTTTCTGTATTTTTTGCTGCTTGCATTCTTGTCACTGTTTGTGTATTTTTTGCTGCTTGTGCACTTGTCACTGTTTCTGTATTTTTTGCTGCTTGCATTCTTGTCGAACTACTTTTATTAATAGCTATCACAGAGTTCAATTCTGTTTGTGTATTTTTTGCTGCTTGTACACTTGTCACTGTTTGTGTATTGTTTGCTGCTTGTGCACTTGTCACTGTTTGTGTATTGTTTGCTGCTTGTGCACTTGTCACTGTTTGTGTATTTTTTGCTGCTTGTGCACTTGTCACTGTTTCTGTATTTTTTGCTGCTTGTGCACTTGTCACTGTTTCTGCAATTCTCCGAGTTCTAACTCTTGGAGTAAATAACATGACATCTTCAGATTTCTTTTTTTTTGACACTGGAGTCTTTCTTTTTGACACTGGAGTCTTTCTTTTTGAAGATTTCTTGGCATTTGATGTATTTGCATATGCAGTTGGTGATATGAGTTCACCAAATAGATCCCTGTGTCCTTCAAGTGGAGTATCAAAGTTCAATTGTAATCTTGTTCCCTTAAAGATCACTACTGGACTCAGGTTTGGCATTGTCCTTGTTCAGAATTGTACAATCAACTGAATTAAGTCACACCTGACATAAAAAAAAAAAAATTATAAATAATTTTTACAGAATTTAACTCACAGTAACATTTACAGGTGTCTATACCACAGGCAATATACAAATTGATTAATTCAACTTAAAACATTCATTATTTCACTAAGTATTGACCTTTATATATTTTTAATAGTTCAAAAATAAGCAGCTCTAAAATGGGCTATCTTTGTCTGAGCAACAATTATGATTATAGCTCTAAATTTTAAGATATTATAAAAAATTAAAAATCAGTTAGTTTAGGAGCTAGGAATTACGGAAGACGACTTCATGGACCATGGGCATTCAGCTTGTGAGACAATAACGAAGAAGTGTATTTTGTTGTATACTTAGGGTCAATTATAACTCAAGAAAACGACATTAAAACAGAAATTTCAATAAGATTACAATAAGCTAGTAAATGTTTCTTTGGATTTAGTAAAATTTTTAGATCAAGAGCAATCTCTAAGAATTTAAAAATTAGAATGTACTTAACTTTGCTAAGGCCAATTGTCCTGTACGGAGCAGAAACATGGCCTCTGAGAAAGACTGAAGAATGAAGAATTGCAGTATTTGAGAGAAAAGTACTCAGGAAAATTTATGGGGCATACTATGATGTTCTCACAAATGAATGGAGGAAATTACACAATGAAGAACTGCAATCCCTTTTTCNAACCCAGTAGGGAGGAGACCTCTTGGAAGACCGCGTCTAAGATGGGAGGAATGCGTAAGGAGAGACACTGAAACAGTGGAGCCGGAGTGTCATTGGCAGGAAGTAGCAGAGGATAGGGATAGGTGGCAGTATGTTTATCTAGAGGTATGGTCTTGAATGGCCAAAACCAAGAAAGAAAAAGAAGAAAAATAATGTTACAATATTATTTTTCCAATTATTAATGATAATTAATAACAATTTTGATAATATATAATCATTTTTAATCATACTAACACAACAAAACACTTTAACATTATCCAGAACATAAAAAATTGTCTAAATATTGCTGTAGAATGGTAAAAAATAATAGAGCGCAAACGACAAGATAGTCCTAAAATGTTACATTACCATTAATGTTAGGGATTACCTACTTTCGATTTTCAAATGGCAATTAATATTGAAAGTTCAATAAATAGATAAAATATTAGTTGAAATAAATTGTGGTGTTAATGAGATATTCCACGTTTAAGTTAGGGTAAAGGGATACTCCACTAATATTCCTCTACCATAGTAGTTAGAATCTCGAGATTAAGGGTAACAAAAAAATAATAGTAATGTAAAATGTTAGAGTTGTATGTTTCTAGAAAAATTAAAAAAAATTGTTTTGAAAAGTTTAATGAACCACTCTATAAAAAAAAATGTATTTTCCAATAGTTCTCAGGATTGAATAGATCAAAAACAAAAATTATTTCAACAGATTAAAGATCGTTATTAATTTTTCGATATTTATTTCCCAAATTATTCATATTTCAAACTTAAATTTGTTTATTTTATAATCTTATAGAAAAATTGTATAATAAATTTAAAAAATACCCTTCTGAAAACACAGCGAATGTTTTCATCTTTAATTCGATGAAATAATTTTTGTTTTAGGTCAATTAGATCCTTAGTACTATTGGATGTATAAAAACACACTTTTGCTATATTGCCCATAATACTGTTGTTATTTAATCCATTGGTAAAATCCAAAGTTACCTATCATATATAATTTAAACATTTTTGTAAAATTTGAATTCATCTTGAAAAATATAATATTTTAGAATTAATCAACACGTTTAGTGGTTTAGTGTGCTATCTATTATACTTATTTATCTGTATAAACTTAATAATTTTGAAATTAAGATTAGAATTTTAACAACAAAAGTGAAATTAGTTTGTATTTGTGAGGAGTGTCGATTATATGCGGTTTAATTATGGTTATTTGTGTTATTAAATTACGAGTATTATTATTTTGTAATTATTAATATGAATGTTTCTTCAAACATGAATTATTTGTACCGACATTCAAAACGAAGAAATGTTTATAAGTTTTTTTAAAAAATCTTAATTTATTACCTTATGAACAAACACGTACTAAAATTAAAAATCAAACAATTTGTGTTAATGAATTGAAAGAAATTCTTAAATATAGTAGGAAATAAAATTCAAAAGGATATATTTTGAAACCCATATTTTTGCAAGCACTTAAAAAAGGTGCCAAACATTTTACTTGATATGCAAAAAATATATTTTTTTACATTTAAGGATAAAAATGGGAAATATACTAGTCTAGATACTAGTGGTTTAAATTTGTACGATATTGTAGAACTTGTTTGGTATTGGGTATTTTAAAAAGATTAAGACCAAATATAATCGACTGGTACAATTAATGTCGAGAAGTAGCAATAGTTGATTTTCAAAACTATGAGAAAAAGAAAGGCCCTGGTATAATTGTGCAAATAGAATATAGATGAATCCTTGTTCCAAGGTAGAAGAAAATATTATCGTAGATGATTACGTCTTGAAGATTGCAAATCAGACAAAAATGAAGATCGCTCAGATGGACATGATGTAGTACCTAAATAATACAAATTATGGACAACAAATTCAAGGGCCATGGATTTTTGGTTTACTTTGCAGGCATGATGATGTTTTAAAAAGTAGGGTTAACAAAGTAGAAAAGCGAGATAGGAATACCTTATTACCAATTATATTAAATGAAGTAGTACAAAATACTACTATATATTCCGATAAATGACATGCATACTAAACTTTAAATGCACACGGATCTATCCATAACACGGTTAATTATTTGTAAAATTCCATTGACTCAATAACTGGAGCCAAAACACGAATAAAATAATATATTAATACATTATAAAACAAAATTATCAATATTTCTAACCAGCTGGTGATACTTAAGCAATAAAATTAAAATCATGATTTTTGCAGTAGTTCAACTGTGTCAAAGTTGAGTTTCATAAAATCTAGTATTCGGATATCTATCTTTTGGCAATTAATATTATATAAAACTTCAGTTGTACCAAGTATCTTGAAACCGGTAACACAAAATTAATGTCCTCAGTGTACAGTCCACCTTACACAAAATGGCCAAGAATTTCCGGCCGCCAGTTTATTCACACCGGACGAGTCCAAAACGACCAAAAAACTGTTGACGCCATACACATTAGTAATTTCTAGTTTAAGCGATACATATTTGGCTATTTAGGCAACGCGCCTACTATTACCCATGATTAAAGATTATAGGTACATCTTCAATTGTGCCATTACCTACTGTATAGTTATTTATTCATATATTACTTACCTATAAAACTGAAGAATATTAACTTATTGTTGTCACTAAACTTGGTAAGTACATACACTTCAGATATTTCACGGCAAATGGAACACTAGCCAAAACTGTGAAACGCACACACACACACACACCAATCGGAACTCAGGAATACCAAGTTGCATACTTAAAAGACGCTGATCAGTGTATTTTACAGTGTGTACTGGCATAGGAAATAAGTACCTATTATATACTTACTGAGATATTCGACCCGACGGTTAACAAACGAGCAACGGTTTGTTTTGTAAAGCAACGGTTTGTTTTGTAAAGCGACGCTAAAATCACATGATCATGAAAAACAAGGAGATCGTAGTACATGTTGATTACCATAGATAACATTATCCATGATGATAATGCACAGTGATATCACAGCGTTCTACCAAACAATAAAAATAATCGATATATATCACTAACATAATAGGGGAACTAGCTCGTTTCACAGAAAAATATTCCAATCGTTATTTGTTCCACACTCTTTTGTGAACAAAAATCTATTGGAACAAGTGTCATGTGGAATAAATGGTCATTAAAAAAAATATATTTTGGAACATGCATGAATATTGAATTGGAAATTGTGTTTTATGGAATCAATGGCGTTGGAATAAATATTTTCGGAATACAATCTCAAAAGTATATGTATCTATTGTAACATTGGTGTTTTAGTGATTTTTAAAAATCACAAAATTATAGTAGTTGTTCCAAATCATTGCCATCCGTATAAATATCATTACCTACCGGAGTATATTCATGAAGTGGTAATAATTGTTGGGTTGTTAATATTTTAATATTAGTATAGATTATATTTGTGTGTAGGTCTTAGTCCTTGGTTTAGGTATCACAGATATTGATATAGTATCCATAGTATGTAATCGCCTTATTTTATCGAACTTAGAATATTATTTTATAATCATGAAAATTAGAATTACAATTGTTAATACTTAATAATGAAAAACAAAATATCTACTAAATATATTTATTATTAATACGTAGGTACCTATCATGGCTAATTGTATCTGCATTCTGCTGTACGAACTCTAAAAGATTTGTAAGATATTTAAAATTTGAATAAAAAATAATAAAGAGTTTAGCGATGTGGCGATCGCTCCCTCCCCCCTATGGCATTGTTTTGTTAGTTCAACTAAAACGCCATTGATATAATGCATATGCAATTCATAAGTCATAAATATAACTTGAAACTTAATAAATGATAATTTTGTTTTAAAAAAATACTTTAAAAGCTCTTTTGTGAAACTATGCGAAACACGATGGATGAAAATGCATGACAGTGTTCTACAATTTAAATATTTGTTAACAGAAATTATTAAAGCCTTAAGAGAGGAATCAAATTGGGAAGACAGTCCCTGCATCTAAAAACATTAATATTGTCAATTGCCATTGTGCAATTGTGAATTTATAAAATCAACAATTTCTTTATCATCAGTACCTACTTTCTGTTAGTTACACGATTTAAGTTGGTTACTAATCAGGCAAGTGAAATTTTACAAGGGAAGAATCCGGATAAATTATCGGCAAGTAATGTAGGTAGTGGAAGATAACAGTGATGGTATTGGAAAAAACCGTTTTGTTTGTGATATTGTAACTCGATAAATAGGTAATATACTAATTTGGAAGCAATTTAAAAATACTTACAAGTCCTTCCCCACTTTCTAACCTGAACGAAAATATTGCGGAAAAAAAGCAGATTCTGGATCTGTACTCCAATTGTGGTTAGTCAGCTCGCAAAAACGGCAGGCGCTTAGGTTAGACGGAGGTAATTGGGCGTAAACAGTGATAATAAATTGTAATGCTTACTCTTGCCTAATACGATTTAAATTATCTAATGTCATAAAAATTGTACATATTTATTTAATAATTGGCTAAAACATAACGCATTACAAGCATCTTTAATGCATTTACTCACCAAAGATTGACCTTAAGCTCAAACCCAATTTTCCCTATTATTCTGCTGATAAGAGCCACTTGCACAATATCTTAGAACTATAAAATAATTATAATTATTGTTACTGTCTATTAAAATTCTTAGACTAAACAGAAATGCGTAAAAAATTAAGGAGGTTTATTAAAAGATTTACTTTGTAGTAAAAAAAAATTAAGTTCAATGTTATATTTTTTTTTATAAAGGAATTTTAATATAAAATTATGACGAAAATCTTTCGAGTAAAAAATTATGTGGAACAAATATAATTTTCAATTTTGTTTTGAACATTTTATGTTTATTCTTGATTTAAGAACGATGGTAAAGTAATAATTGAGCATATTGACATAATATAATACATAATTTATAAAATAAAAACAAATGTGAACTTAATAAAATACATAATATTTATAATATATTTGTAACTTTAATTTTTGTATTCTTAGAAAATATTTTTTTTTGGTTTGAGCACATGAAAAATGTTCAAACCCTTAACTGGAAAAATTTGGTATTTGGCATAAAAAAGGTTCGCCATCCCTGCTATAGGTACTAACATTTATTTTGCCATGACACAGCTCCTTCATTACTAAAAAATGATTTTTGATTGTTTATCTAATACCAAAATCTTCCACATTTGAGAAACCACTAGATCGTGAAAAGAAATCTTGATAATCTCTATTAATAATATTTTATGCCCCCTCCCCTAATTAAACATCCCGAATCCCTGCCTGGCTTAATAACCCAAAAGCATTTTCTGTAATTACATACAAGACTCATGTGTAGTTGAAAATAGCTTTTGTTGTTTCATCTCTAGCAGTTTTCCCTTTTCCCTTGTTTAAGGTTTCATAATATGCTAATCTAAACGAAAAGCTTCATCAGCCATAATGACATGAGGCACTACTTTATTTGACCTAGGATATTCAATTTTAAAAAATACCACTATCCCCTTCTTTTCCATACAAACCTTTATCAACTGCTATGAATTTATAGTTGGTATCTATCATTACCAAAAATACAATGGAGAAAAAATCTTTGTAATTGTGATTAATCCGGATGTATTTCCCGTCTATAGCCGAAATACAATTTGAAAAATTCTATTTATAAGAAAATTCAGTTGCTTTTGGCTAAAAGTTAATAGTTTTACTATTAGGCATAAAAATTGAAATTAATTTCATTTTTAAAGCGGCTAGTGTCTATTTGATAATTTATTACACTTATGTAACTATTGATGCGAAACTCAACGGATAGTGGCCGCATTAATTTATCAGTAGCTAGATACCTAGTAAAATGTAAAAAATCATAACAATTTAACTACTTAAATAAAATTTATTTATAATTTATTAACATTTTTATTTTACCTTAGTGATCGCTAACTCTTTTATCGGTGAAATTGTTTTTTTATTTCTATTAGTGGTAACTAGTAAAGTTATTTCGTTTTCATTCATAAAAAGTAAAACATTGAGCTACTCAATATTATCTCGAAAAATATTGCCTCCTTACCAAATCTCATACCTTGAAAAACGTACCATAAGTGATCGTTCAGAAATATTACATGGGAGCTTGGGTGAAGAAACCGCCCACTGGCGACACTCATGCATTTATGCATATGAGATAAGTCAAGGAGTAGTTCACGACATCATTTTCATTTTAATCTTTTGGGAGATGTTTCTAGGCATTAGTTTGGATACATTTTTTGCTAGTTGATTTGGGTGATTAGAAAGGAAGTTATGGTAACGTTTGTAAGATTCAGTGGCAACAGAGGCGAACGCAAGGGAGGATTTGGGGGTTTAAACAGCCCCCGATATATCAGAAACAAAAAATAAATTACCTGACCTAAAAATACTAATAAATACATTTAAAACAAATGATTAGTTATTTATTAATAATAATAAAATAATATAATAATGATTTGTAATTATTAGTTATTTAAAAGTTTTCTGAGTGTAATAAATTATCGTCACAACCAATATATTGTGGGAAATGCCCAATGACCCGTATTATCTAGAAATTTCATTGTTCAATATAAACCATACGTCTACACCGCTAACGAATACACCGACATATCTTGTTGTACCACTAATTCGCTAATTTTTATTGACGTATTGTTATGACGACGTAATATTAAATGCAATTACAAAAATTCAAAATAAGTTCAATTTTAAAGTTTTTAAACCATAAAATAAAAATACTACCCAAGTGCCGATTGATGTGGATTCAAACAAATCGTCAGTAGACAGTCCACCAACTAAAATACGGAAACCCGAAATGCCACAATTTGGTGCAAATCGTAATGTGAGTTATTGTTAACTATCTACATAATTATTTATTTAGTTTCAAATTCTGTTATTATAATATACCCACGCAGTATAATATCATTTCCCCAAATATGAAATAATAAATTTACATGACGGTGATATTAATATTAATAAACACAATGTTTTATTTTTTATTGACAAATCGTAATAGTTCATTTATATATATATGTGTGTGTGTGTGTGTCTGTGTGTGTGTATATACTATGAGTACCTGAAATGAAGAGTAATAAGCGGAGGCCACTCAGAACGCTAAGCTACGTATGCTATGTATACTATGTATGCTTTATACGCTCTGTACGCTATGTTCACTATACGGTGTGGCAACACAGAACACACTACGGAGACTATGTACGATATTTACTACCAGTCACCCTAAACAGTTATTAGTTATGTTCAAGATGTTGTCAGGTACGTTGCCTTGGGAATGTGATAGCAGTGATGATGAAGCTTTGTTATTATTTTCGTTAAATAATAATAATAAACAAAAAAGGAAATGGGTCCATGAATTAAACATGGAACGTAAAAAGTTTGGTGAATTTCATCATCTTTTAAAACAACTACGAAAAGGTGAATTGAAATTTAAAGAATATTTTCGTATGAGTATGAAACAATCTAATCAACATTTATCAATTATTTAAAAGGACATCGAGAAAAAGGAATTAAATCTCAGGGAAATCTTCTGGTTCCGATATTCGTTCAGATTTTTCTTCCAGAGACAAGGGTACCTGCGTACTTGCTCTATTAGCTGCTCTAGTAACATCACTTCGACAAAATAACGCAGCACTCACGAAAATTAATAAAATATAATTTATTTTTGTTAAACTGGTGTTAAAAATGCATGCGTTAAAAATGTATGATCGACTGCTGTTTTAGAAATTTTCCGTCGTCGTAATCGGCTTTCCATAAAATTGCGTTGCGATAAAATAAGAAACAAGAGTCAACACGATAGCGCAGGTCGTCAGAAACGTCGCGACACATCGCTCAAAAATATAGCCACAAATCAAACACTCGGTTACGCGTCGCAATGTAGCTAAAAACAAAACGTAGCGTGTGGCCATTTACGTCTTCAAGACAGAAGACTATTTTTTATTCGTATAGCGAACATTGTGAACATAGCACGCGTAGCGTTCTGCGTGGCCTCGGCAATACAGTATGAATAGTATGATTTTTATGAACATTTTATACTTTTTAAACTGCCCCCCCCCCGAAATATTTTCCTGCGTTCGCCCCTCATATGACAGTTTATAGTTTTGTTAAATGATTTTGCCTGATACTCCCAAAAAACTTATTTTTGTAATATATCTATATATATATGTACACAGCTATATTCATAGATCATATTTAATAGAAATTCATTAAAAACTTAGTTAAAATAATAAATATATCTATGTAAATTGTTAGTAAAATCTGAACATTAGTAAATAGATAAGTATAGTAAACTAGTGCTTATTCATAAATCAGATTTAGGTAGTTACCAAATTGTTACGGAATAATTTTTAGTAAAATAATATCCAGCTCTGGTGATACGTAATCACCCGAGCTCCACCCATTTGATGGTGATCACTTAAACATATATAATTATTTTGAATTTACATCACAAATAATTTTATTGTTATAACAGATACAAGTCATTGCGATACTTGTCACAACAAAATAACTGAATACTATTATATTATGAGTAAAAACAAAAAAAATCCTAAGATTCTAAACATAAGCTATGAGGGAATTACTGACATGAGGTAAAGTAATTTCAAACCTCCTTCCTTCACCTTATGTTGATAAATATTTCAAAAAATATCGTATGGATGTATCTATAATTCTTCAATCTTAATTTCAAAAAAAAACATTTTCTTATCAAATATTTCTTATTGCATGTTTTAATATTATTATATTATATATCTGTAGTCATTAAATAATTTAAATTTATTTTATAAATTGCATTGGTCTACAACCATAGTATCCAATAAATGTTTTATGTCTTATGCATAGAGATTTGATACTTTTTTGGAGGACTAAATAGCTCAAATAAATATTATATTAAGACTAGCTTATTAGTTATTATATAAGATAAAAATTTTAAAAAGAATTTTGATGATTTTGGGGAGAATTTACCCTCTAGCCCACCAAACTTCATCTACAGCACTTTTACAACATTTTTTATTTTGTCCCCCTCCTCCGTAGGATTGATCTGAAGATGCGGCTGCCAGGAAATCAAGTAAATTTAAATTAAAAATAATTCATAGTTCAAGTTTATAGTATTTCTATAATATTATTAAATATACACCTTAGTGTTGCAATTAGTTGATAAAACATAGGGGGGAGAGGGGTCACACCATACTATTAAATAAATTTATTCATGAGGCTCAATGCAGAGGACTTCAGATAATCCAGGAGGCTCAGCCTCCCTACATAATTGGATCACCAAAGTACCAACTAATATTATCCATGTAAATGTATGCCATATTCCGTGAACATAGCACACTATACTTAGGTATTATACTACTTATTGAACATGTTGATTATAACACAAAATAATGTAAACAATATAAAGTCGCAAAAGGTAGGTATATTATAGGTATCATAATTAATACAAAAATTCTAAAGTTTAATTATTAAAGTACATATATATATAGGAAATATTTAATGACAGATTTAAAATGGAAGGTCATATTATATTAAATTTTAATTAGTAATAGTAATAATATGAATGTATAGAATTTAAAAATTATTAATTAATTAGCATATAATGATATAACCTTAAAATCCACAACATTTTAAACTAGAAAAATGGTATTATTAGGTAATAATAAGTATTTTATTATTTTTTTAATATTAAGGGATATTATTCATGTTATGATTATTGATTAGTAGGTACCTTATAGGTTAAATTGTATATACATATTACAAAGGTGGCCTTTAGTTATAGGTGGAAAAAAATATTTTTGATCTCTCACGCCCTCATTTTATTCATTATTATAAGATAGTAATTTTATTGAAATATAATCACAATTATTCACCACCTTCATATACCATAAGGGGGTTGAAAATTAAAAAATAGGGTTGATTTGTTGTGTTTTGAGTATTAAATTATTAAACTTACCTTAATTATCATATATATATATATATGTATACAATTTTTCTTAAATCTATTATTTTCTAAGAAAAATAATAAAATATCGAGTATTTCATTTATTTTAAAAAGTTTACTTTTATGGATTTTTAAGTATATTAGAATAATAGTTGATGAATGATAATACTACAAAATGTCCCATATAAAAATGATAAAAAATTGAATTTTCTAAAAAAAGTTAATTTATTGTTTTATTGAAAGAATCGGGTTAACAAAAGAAAATTTAAAGTAGGTATCTAACATGTTAAGTTAGGCCTCATCAATCTTTTATTTTGATAATTTTATTATTGATGTGTAGGAGTCAGTAAATAATTTATAGTTAATATTAAATAATAATTAGATCTCTGATTTAAATGCCCTAAAATTATCAAAAAAATATCCTTTCAATAAATTAAATGGACTATAATTGACCATCGGCCACACATACTACTAATATAGTATTACAATAATATTATATGAAAATACTATGATAAAAGTTGCCTTTTCTAAAACCAGATTACCTATTGTTTTATTGATTTATACTACATAGTATTATGTTTATACATGTCAATGGAGTTATTTTTTTTAGTCATAATACAAGAAATATTTGGTATTTTATCATTATTCTTAGAAAATAATATATTTATGAAAAATTGTTTATATGTTTTTTTGACAACAAGTCAATCCTTTTTTGCAATTTTTCAATCCAAGGCACGTGAAGAGTATGAGTAATCATGACTAAATTTAACCCAAACTACTTTATTGTAATAATAAACAAAATGAGGGGGTCAGAAATCAAAAGTTCGTAAGTTCAAAAATAAGAGCCACCCTATATTATATAATGTATCATCACTATTGTGCAATAAGTTATCAAGTGCAATTATATGACCAAATAGTTACTATGTCACTCTTCAAATGTAGAAAAACAACTAACAAAAAATTCAAAATAGGTAGATATATATTGAAATAGGAGTTCTACACCCATATTGGATACTACACAAAAGTATATGGTATCACATTATTTAAACCCAGACCTTCAAATACTACAAACAATAAAAAACAAACATATATCATGTCTTTTACAACAGACTTTAGAAGCAAACTTGTTCATGGCTGTTATAAATATTATAACACCAGTCATTAATGTATCTTGCAAAAATATACAAACACACCCATCATTTTAATTTATTACACTTTCATTTATACATGTTTAAAGTTTAAAACTATTATAGATTTTTTTTAAAGTTAAAAAACATTTATGGATTTACTATGTATTTTAATAATTTAATCTGTTATGACAACAGACTTTTTTTTATGTAACTTTTCATGCAAATTAATAATTTTAGTTTTTAGAATTTAGGGAGAGTTTTCACAGATTTACATTAAATTTAGGGGGCCCATGACAAAAACGTTTGAGATGCACTGGCCCAGAAGACCCAAGTTGAAATAAATTTAAACGAGATTGACAGTAGCAGAGTGTGATGCTGCACAACTAAGGATATGAACCTACAATTTGGAAAAGGTAAAGTGGAAAATTCAGAAGAGAATAATAAAAAAAATATGTGTATGTTTGAAGATGAGATTATCAATATAAACCAAAATAATATTAAAAAAGGTTACTAAAGGGGTTGTTGTATTTTAATTAAGTGTCTCAAGTTGTCCCTTATTAATATTATTATGTATAAAAGTGAGTACATAATTTAGTGTTAAAATTATTTACTTTTTCACATAATTTTTCAGATGACAATTTAGAAAATGTGTGTGATTTTTCAGACCATTATTTAAAATATTAAATTATGTAGATATATTAGTTAACTAGTAAAGTTAATAAATGTATTCTACTATGAGATGGGATTTATTTATTTTTATTCAGTTTTTTCTTAAACATGTTGTGGATCATGAGTTAACTTTTATAATAATAATAGTACTTAATAATAATATTATAGTTATATTATAATGGCACAATTTTCTTTCCTTAATACTCAATATCTAAGTCCAACTACAAATATTTTTAATGCATATTTTTCCGAGTTGGAATAGCGTAAAATATAATATTAACAACTATATTATAATTGGTAAATTTCACATAAAGTTAATAGACTAGATAAAGTAAATTTAGTAGTTATTAATTAAAAATGTTTGTAGCTACTGTGGGCTAATATAAAGGTACATGGATTTAGTTGATTTGGGATATGAATAAAAGATGTTTGTTAAAACTGAAGTTATGTTTCTCTTTCAGGGTTTTCCAACTTGCTGTGATCTACATACAACTTTCTGGGGATCTTACGCCAAGTTTCAGTATCAAAGACATTATAAATGCCACATTCAAATATAATACCATCAGTTTCTGTGACACTTATTTCAGACATTCGTGTAATCCATTTACGTTGTTCCGTGTGATAACGCCAATTTCGCAAATACCTGTATAATAAATTACTGTTGTATTATACAAATAAAAAAACCCAAACACGACTTGTTTATCACTTACAATTCTTTAGCAACAGCCGGCTGTATACTATCGCCAAAATGGTTATAAAAGAGATAAAATAGGAGGTCTTCGCCAAAGTTACTGAAATTTATTGGAGCCAACTTATCCCTAAAATGAACATAAATTAGTAACTAAGTAACTAAGACTATACATTTAACTTTTCACTTGATTTTTTGATGAATCAGATACTCAGATGGTACTTGATGTTCTGTTTCATGGGGTTGAAGTGGACAGTTTTTAAATGGACCACCAAATGTTGGATAATTGTTTCCAGGGGAGTTCAAATCCATACCAAGTGTGGTCAAATCTATTCCAATGCTTAATTCTACCAAACTAGGATCAGTTGATGCTGCTCTCATAGTCATTATTTGACCAATAATACCAAATTGATCTTTTAACATAGTGCCTGGTATATTTGTAACTTTACCTAGATAACCAGTATTAATTACTAAATGTATAAACTTGTAAGATCACATTAAAAAACGTTTCAGCTTATAAAATATACATAATGTATTTTTAATTGAGGAATAAATATAAAATGATTCAAGTAAATAGAGAATATCCAGAATAAATCAACTTAAAACCATTTAAATTGAATTATAACTTTAATAAAGTAAATAGTTATTATTTAGTAAACTATAAATAACAAACCTTCAGGTGATATTTGAACTCCACTTTTGCCATCAGTGTGACGAATCATATATGGGAAGTCGATGTTAGCACGGCTACTGCTTGGCTGATCAAATATTTGATTCATAAAGGGTTCCATGCAATTTTCTTCCAATAATTTGTTTCCAGAACCAAAAGTTTTTGAATGCCACTGATGGGTTGGATTTACATTTGAGGTTGAAGCATTATTAACATTTTCAGTACCAGGCAAAGCAGGGAAATCTTTATTTCTCATTCTAAACTCCCCCACAGTTGAACCAGTGGATTTAATTCGTTTAGCTAAAAATAATATTATGACACAAATTATGATTTAACTACCTGCATGTAGGTAAAGTTGTAAATAGTAGGTATTCAAATTACAATATAATCAAATTAATAAAAATGACAACAATTTAAGAATATATCAAATGAAAAACTCGACACATAACTTCCCATCATAGGTAGACCACTGTTATAGGTCAGAAGTTGGTCAGGTTAAGGTTATGAGTAATTTAGTATAGATACATAAATACCTATGTATACTAAATAAAGCACCCTATAACAATCAAAAAATGATTCTGAGTGAAAATCGGTAAACTGGCAGGTTACAAACCCCACTTGGTTTTTTCCTTTATGGTCAAGGTAACGTAGAAATAAAAAAAAATGAAATTATAAATCGTAATTTGTTGTCCAATAATATTTAATTTTAAGAAAAACTAACAAGAATTTAAAACAATTTTTCAAAATGAAGTAAAATCATTAAAGGTACTTCATGAAAAAATGGAATTATTTTTATTTATCAAAAAAGTGTGTTTTATGATAAAAACATATCGTAGTAAAAATACACTCATAATCTAAAATTAATAATTATTACCATAAGTTGTCCTTTCTGCAGCCTCTGGTTTGGAATACTGAGCACTGTTTGACGTTTGAACATTTGGGCCAAGTGATATTGCATTGTCTCTAAACATGCGGCTGTTGTCTAATCCTGATTGAGTATTAAATATTGGAAAAATATCATCAGAATTGAATAAGCTGCAGTTCGAAGAATTCATTCCATTAATATGATTCAGCATATTGTTTACCAATGATGATGCACCCCTTTAAAAATATAGAAATTCAATTTTTAATGTACATATATGTTTAGTTTTTTTTTCTTTCAATAAATTATTCTTACATAGGATGTGGCATTAAATACGGGAAATTCTCCTGGTAGTTTGTACTTGTACTGGCCAAAGGATCGTTTAATCTCATTGTTGTATTATTCGTAAATAGAGTTGATTGATGATGCTGTTGTAGTTGGAGATTGAAGTTGTTGCTTAACATCATGCGATCATCTGATGTTAAATTATTATTACTTCTGTTATTAGGGTTAGGGTTATTAGGGTTAAACATTTTGTTTGCTGTATTTATCCTGTTTTCTTATACTGTACCTAATTACAAACAAATATTTAATTGAAAATGTCTTCAAATAAAATAAATCATTTTATATTTTATAAAATAAAATGTTAGTTCAATAGGTGAATACAATATTATTAAATTATCCAATTGCATATACTAACATACAAAAAAATAATTTACAAAGTTATTAAATATAGGTACTAAAATTACCAAATTAAGTTAATTGTTTAATTTTATACAGGTATATCAAATAATAAAGGTAATCTGAAAATGAATACAACCAATTTCCCAGGTTTCATTTCTCCCTATATTATTATTAACTTTATAATTTATATTAATTTGGTTGTCACAGTAAAGGCTATGATGAGGCTCTACTAGTAGTTAAACAAATCAGTAGTATCAAGAGAGAATAGTCCTATAAACCAATTCTTCAAAATTATATTTGTACATTAAGTAAGTACTATTAACCTTTCATTAATTATTGGTTCCTGGCTGATTATTTTATTATGAACCAGCAATTTTTTCTAAGGATTTTAAGTGAAATTGATTTTTATTTTTTATTTTCATTCAAGCTTTATTTTAAAACCATTTTAAATTTTAACTCTTATTCCACATACTTGAAATAAGTACATACATAATAATACTAATATTATAATTTATATTATATTATATAAAAATATTAATATGAGATTTACTGTTTATGAGTTATAACAGTCTATATTTAGACCAGGGCAGTAGGGAAGGGCAATATATTGTATAATATCTATTTTTAAATAATAAATTGATAACTCATCCCTACTTCTCAGGTCTAAACTTTAAATGGTAAATCTGATATTAGTGTTATGCCTTATAAATATCAAAATTTCATTATTTGAATCTGTTATTATAGGTGGAGTTGCTATTTAAAAATCAAAAGTGGATACTCATTTCAAGTATAAGGATTAATAGTATAAATTTAAAATTGTATTAAAATATAGCTTAAATGATTTCATAACAATAAATAAAAAAAGAAATAGAATTCACTTAAAATGTAACTAGAAAATTGCTGGTTCGTGATAAAAAAAAATCAAACTATATATTAAATTAAATATATTAATAATATACTAAATAAATAGCTAATTAGCTGGGATTTTATTCAATACAGAATTGTTAAACTCACTAAAAACATTGTATGATATATAAACAAGATATGTATTTTTTGTAGGAATGATATGACAATGTTTTAATTATTTTCTTTGCCTTATGCTTCGCTATATATTTGTAGGTATTTGTATTTGTATACTATTATAAACAATAAAGAAACCTTAAAAAAATTGTTTACAGGCACACCTTGATGACAAATAATAAGCATAAAAGTATTTTTCCATAATTTTTGTAAACTTCTTTAGATACCTAATTGTCAGCTAATTTTCTCAATTTGGGTCCTTCATCATCCTTGAAAACAGAATCATTATGACTGATGATATATAGAGTGTAACTGGACTATTTGACATTTTTTCATGTAACTACAAGGAGAACTACAATGTAAAAATGTCAAATAGTCCTGTTACACCCTGTATATGTATATATTAAGTAGTGTGTTAGTAACAAGGATGTGGTGCCTTTTGATAGTTTCAACTTTATTTTATGTTAGAATTTCACCATTATTTGAAACTAAAATGGCATTTGAATCAGCAAACAATTTTTAAAAACTAGCAACTAAGTTTATTTTCTTCAGTTATTGGTTATCTACTGACAAAATACTGTACAGCAATCTAAACAGTTTTACTAAATTTTAATAAAGTATCAAAAAATGCATTGCCAAAACACGACTAATTTAAGGTTTAAGATAATACATTTTAGTGTTTTTTTACGTTTATAGTTTAATAATCATGGTAAATCTGTATACCTTTCCCATGATAGATATATTTCAATTGTCATTAACCTTATTGTCAGGAAAAACGGCAAATATTAATGGCGTACACTATCGTTACCGTTTTCATTGTTTTTAATTTTTGTTCACGATATTTTCTACCAGAAATATTGCTTCAATCAAAGACAAGATATCGATTTGTCCCTTTTAATATATAGACACTGTCAAAGAAAGTCGATTATTGTTATCTAAAGCAGTTTTCATAATAATTGGGAAAAACTAAAAAAGGTTAAAAATAAGGTCTTTTTTTTCAAATTAGGGCATGATTTCATTATTTTAAATTTATACTGCTTTTTTTCAATAAGTTTAAGTAATAAAGTAAATATATCTTTAACTAAAATTAGAACTTTATTAATTATTGTTAGTTTTTAAAATTAAATGATAAAGTTTATTTTTATTTGTTTTTTTTTCTAAATCTAAAAATAACACCATCAATATTTAATTTTATTTATTTATGTTTTCTTGAAGTCAGCTGGGAGGAATGAATGATCGTAAATTTCCCGCTTTTCCCAATTATTGGAAAAACCGCTAGGAAAATCAAAAAAAAAAAAATAAAAAAATGAACTCTTCAATGCACCAAATAGATCCAAAATGGAACAATATAAAGGTTTAGTCATTTTCTATTTAACAGACACAAAAATAAAAAAAATCACATCATAGTAAAACCAATACATTCCTCGTTTAGCTGAGAATCTAAATAACAATAGTTGGAAATATTTTCATAAAGTTTACAAAAATATCTTTTCGGATTTCTTAATTATCGGAAACGAATAATTTGTTCCGGCCAATGGCTATATTCAAACATTTTAAAAGTGATAATGATCAAAGCGGCCCACCGAATTTGTCTTTTAGTTGTTAAACCGGTATCGTGTAAATAAAGTATGAATCACACTGAACCGGCATTCACAGACCGGCACCGTCACCGCACAGATACTAACGGACTGGGCCGCACTGACAAACATTGTATGAAAGAATGTTTTGTCGATGCGTGTCCGTGTCATTTGTGTCGAAACGGTTTATGTCGATGGGCTGTGAACGCGACAACATTATTTTCCAAAATGAACACATTCTAAATAAAACAAAATCGCCTTCAAGAGATGCATATAAACTATATAATTTGCCGTCAAATTTTTTCCGTTTTAAAATGCCATGCACCCAAATACGTTTTTTAATTTTTATCGTCTTTTGTTCTTCGTCTAAGGCAATTGCCATTATGGTCAAATATGTGGTGAACAAGTGCTTAAACACGATTTTAAAATTAAAATTACGCATTGCAGGACTAGTTTCACTACTTGTAGTTACTTAACTGTACATATAAAATTACTTTTCATGTATAATGGTCTACAAAACAGTATGATATGAATATTCTCTAAAATGTCGGTTCGGTATGGGTACTGTACGTTCCGGTGCCGGTCTGCGAGTGTCGGTTCAGTGTGAATCATCCTTAATTCTATTTTTAGTTGTTCAAAGTCATGTTAATTTCATACTAAGTGTTGATGCTAATCTATAACAATCTATATCTTGAACCCTATAACACCCCCTGGATCGGCGTCTGACATTAATCGCTATAAAGTAACGTGTTATTGTAACGACGCTGCAATTAGCGCACTATTCCTAATTACTCCTTATTGTTATCAATTAAAATATATTTAAAAAAAATCAATATTAAATTTAAGAGAAATATTTTGGTTTATAATTTACCAAACAGTCATTAGCACTACAGGGGTCAAAAAGGGATTTCTCTTCTCCCTGCATCCCTTCTATAGTTCTACACCACTATGCCAGGAACCTTTAGGTACTTATTTATGATAATTCTTGTATACTCGTATCTTAGTCCATCAATTTAATTTTAGAATAGGCTAATTGATAGCAGTATCGACCTAGCCATGGTCCAGTCTTGTTTGTGTATGGGAGCTCTCAGGCCTCAAGCTTTATAAAATATCGTCATAATAAGTGCATAAGTATGGAATAACATATGTTATACTATAAATAGTAGATATATCCCAGCAGTATCAACTACACTGATTTTTAATTGATTTCTATGTGGTTTTAGTGTGCAAAAAAAAACTAATAAACTAAAACTATATATTATATAATATATGTGCACAATGTACAATGTACATATAAATATAAAAAACGTCCTAGGATAATGGGGACGAGTTCAGCTACTGTTATAAACAATTTAATGTATACCTGTAAGCAATAATAAACCATTGCTTACGAAAAAACGATTCCGAGTGGAATTTAGTTTATAATGATGCTTTATTAACAATATATATATATATGTCATTTTATAGTAAAATAATTAAATAGGCTTTATATATTTGTTCAATATTGTATCGATTTTCCCACTTTTCTTACGTTTTTCTGGTTTTTACATCTGCTGGGAAAACTTTTGGGAAAATTCAAAAATGGCCTCTTTAAAGTACCTCGGTAGTAAAATTTCCTTTTAAAAACATTACTATCATTAAAAGTTGGAGCAAAATTACTGGTAGAAAAGTTGTGCACAGAAAAAAGAAGGTCGTAATATATTTTAACTAATACCTATAATTCTTATATTTTTCTAGTTTTTTTCCAATTTTTTAAATTTGATGATAAGATCGAGAAATGACCTTCTTATAGTACCTCCCCGATTTCCTTTCAGAAAAGGTGCTATACATAGAAATCTGAGCAAGTCTTTTGGTAGAAAAATTGCGCACAGATAAAAAAAAAATAATAATAAACGTCTTTGTAAAATTATAAGCTTCTCGCTACTTAGAATCTAAAATTAAAATTCATATTCATTTGCCATATATTTAAGTTTTTTTTTTTTTGTAAATTTACAATGATAAACTAATTCATAATCTACAATCGGAATCTGGGGGGTCCAAACCCACTGAACTTTTCCCGTAAAACCGCTACCGGTTGAGGTGGCAGTTCCCTCATCATGTATGGGCTAGGCGATAGGTGTGGCGCTATCGCCCATCTATAACGGAGTACCACGACAGAATAGTCACGCGTCACAGCTACTCTAGCGAACCATAATGGTGGCGTCTACGAGTAGTTACATGGACTATCTGTATATTATTTTATAATTAATGATTTCTATTAGGAATACAAGGTGTTACACAATTTTTTTTCTAAAGCTATTAAAAGTATATTTTTTTTTCAGAAGGGCATCTATTTAGAAAAAAATTTAATTTGTATTTTCATCCCCTTATCACAAAAAAAAAAATTACTTTATTTATTCATTTTAAATATTTTTTAAAATAGTCACTTTATAAAAGATATTACTTTTTCTAAAAATGTTGATACATCGTATATTCATACCTGATCAATAGTTTTTTAGTTATAGCCGTTTATGTGTCTAAAAAATAGAAATGAAAGTAATTTATTAATAATATGTAATAAAAGATAAGGAATTACCTCGTTGATTGTGATTCATTATCGGGTACCTAACGTGTTATTCTATTGAAAATTAATTGATTTCACTTCTATTTTCTAGAAATATAAACGGTTGTAACAAAAAAACTATTGATCGGATATGAATTTATATATAATATCTTTATAAGGTGGCTATTTTGAAGATTTTTTCAAGTAAATAAATATATATATTTTTTTTAGTGATTATGGGATGAAAAAATGAAAATATTAATTTAATTTTTCTCTAAATAGATGCACCCTTCAAAGAAAAACAAATTGAAAAAAAATTTTAATAGCTTTAAAAAAATTCGTTAAAAACTATGGAACACCCTATACGATTAAATAGCATACGATTTACTCTGAGTACAGTGGGTATAGCAAGAAAAATGAGATAAAATATATTAGTGGTATGGGAACATTAAGGGAAGGATAGAAAAAGTAGCTAGAGCTTATTAAATGAAATATGTGTACCTATATGAGACATGCTAAGTCGATATGCAGAAATGGGTATGGATGTGAAGGATAGGAATAAAAGTCACTGTCGGCTGCAGGATAAAGGCGAATTGAATAAGTTTGTCGACGAATACGCGCAGTGTTGATAGTTTTTAAAAATGTTCAAAATAAAAGTCATCCAAATTGTTTTATTTTACATTCTTAGCGCAGTATTCTACTACTTACCAGAAAACGAGACATGCATTTACCTGAAGCTGAAATGAACCAATCCGCGTGCGAGAACACGAGTTTTGGTCTAGGTTGATATTAGAGCTTCACGATCTGATGAAGGAATCTGACGTTAATAGAATATTTTCGGTTAAATCATGTTACACACGTACAACAGTGTCAATAGCCTCAACGAAAATGGCGTCGTCGTCGAGACGGGCGTCATTATAAATTGTGCGCGCGTGCGCAAACCGTTGAACGTACACTGGCGGGTGAGTGGTAGTACCTACCTACCCTCTGCGCGCTAATCATTCTGCAATGTTATTGACCCTTTTGCATTATTTCTCCACCTTGTCATCTGCGGCAACAGGCGAACAGTACGACCTTTAAGGGGGTTAGTAGGGAATTCATAGGTACCTATACAAAATAAACGCGAGTCGTGGGTCACACAAGTGAACATCTTGACAGGATAAAAAAATCGGCTTAATGCTTAAAGCTCCTGAATCACTGTAACTATGGTAACTGAACCGTAACCCCGGCAGCCCTTATTTATATAGTTACCGCATGCGCGTACGCAGCTACCTCTGACACTCGAATCGTCTGCTGATCAATAAAATGCCATTATATTACGGAACCCTGTTCGTTTTGATGATTTCGAATATTGGTCTCGCACCTCGATACAACCCAAATAAAGTTGCCCGGAAAGTTCCCTAATTAACTATGTTGACATTATATGGCGATCACTAATGTATATACGTATACAAAATATCAACTTGCGTAACTAAATTCAACAAAAAAAATGTTTTCCACTGACTATTATCATTAAACTTATAAAGATATATCTACTACGTTGATAGATTAGGTTAGGCTCCTACGTAGTTAAATTATTAGATAAATATAACACAATAGTTTTTCCCTCAGAAGTTTCAATACCGTTAAAAACTTGTTTTATTACAATAGTGGTTTAAACCTGATTAGAACTGTTTAAATCAGGGGCGCACAGTGGTGGATTTACTGATCGGACTAATTGAACATGTCTGACTGGCTTATCCTCATGAAAAAATTGTTTTTTTTTTTCAAATAACTAGGTATATTATTATCTATTTTTTTTGTATATAGGTTTATCAACTTTACTAGTTAATTACTAGTAAAATTAATATTAACTTTTATTTATATAGGTATGAAAAATACTGTAAATCGACACATAAAAGTATGCTACCCATTGAATAAATTTAAACGTTTTGAGGCAAGCAAAATAATCTACAAGTTTTAAAAATTTATTTGATACAAAAAAAAAAAAATTAAAATTAACCATAAGTAAATGATGAACTTTTTAAAAATATTAATTTTAATTTTTCAGATTTCATGTCTAAAACCTATAATATAAATAAAGGCCTTAAATGATTCCCAGTTCACATTTTTCCCACATCTATTAAACACACACCCCAATACACTTAATGAAGGGGCAAGAGGGAAATTGTAATTAAACAAAATATAATATAAAATTATGTTATTTAATTATTAAATTGTTAGAATATAGAATGTATTTAATGAAATTGCTCATTTGGTTCATTCAATAAAATTAAATGTATTTGACGAAGTACAAAAGGGTACCGGATTTTAACATGCAAGTTTTATCACACTACTTTACGTGAGATTTGATAACACAAAATTAAATAATGCGACAACATACAAATTTGAACAGCTCCAATAGGACAATATATATGACGCATCGATTTTTTATCCAGTGTATAATAATTAATAATTATACAATTATTAGTAATAATTTGTATGAATGTTATTATGTCTAAATATCTCGCAGCCACACTTCCTTTATATAGCTACGATTGTGACTAGACGCGGGGTCTCTGAAAACGCGAAACTCTGTGTGGGTGCATAACTTGGACTGCCTTCAAGTGGGCCCTATATATAGTATGTTATCATTAATTGGAAAACTCTATTACTCTGCACATAAATTAAATATATTTGGATTGTTTTTTTTTTTTTTTTAGTACCTAGTGAAATTTGTTACACACTTTTTAAACTAATTAAACTAGATATTTCATTTTGTGCATGCCTGTAGCAACTCTTTTATTCTTAGATGGTAGCTCCCGAATTTTTGGTAATTATTTTAATTTTAATTTTTTTTTTTATGAATTTTAATTTTTAAGCCAACTTACTATGTTAAACAAATAACTGAGTTAAGGATATTTAAATGTTTGATATTATTTTTTGACATTTTTTAATTATTTAGCAATTTGATGTCTTAAATTATTCCTTCCTTAAATTTATTCGAAATTAAATGGCATACACATAGTTTAATAAATGTAAATCAAAGTTTTTTAGGTACCCAAAAAAACAATATTTAAATATATTTAATATATACAGAGTGTAGTGTTTCTAACTAATGAATACCAGAGTAAATTTATATAATATTTTGACAAGGCCTTCGGTCTTAAATCCATCACGGAAGAAGCACAATTGGTATGTATAAAACATTTAAATAGGTATGTAATTAAAAACAATACAGACAAAACAAACAAAATCATTTTTTTTTTATATGTATATATATATATTTTTATAAACATTAAAATACACATTTATTTAATCTAGGAAATTCATAAAAATACAATTTTTATTTGGTTTAGTACTAATTAATAGTAATATAAGACTTATAATTAGTTTACTTTGTATAACATAAAAACCATAAACTTTTTTGATGTAGTATTAAGTAAATAATCTGTTATAAATTATGAATAATAGGTAACTGACATGTATAGGATAGTTAAAACTTTATAATTGTATGAATTAAAAGTCTATGTTACTTTCTTTACAGGAGAATGTAATGCATTTCTATATCTAATATTTAGTTCTTAATAACCAGCCTAAAGGTACATGAGCACTGGAATGCTACAGCACTCTATACTCTAAAACCGATTAATCCCAGAAAGTTATAATTATTCAATAATATATAGAATAATTTGTTTACAAATATTCAATATGCAATTCATTATTTTACATTACTTAATATTTTGCACTTTCTAGATATGGTATTGATTTCAAAATATCTAAAATAGTTGAGATTTTTCTTTTTATGTAGATCACAATAAATTGTTCAATATATTTTTATCAATATTTTATTTAACTTTTTAAGTTGAATATATTTTAAATTGTCATAATATTTTAAATAGAAATTACTTCAGAGTAGTTTGCACTAATTTACCATTTCCCACAGATATAAATTAAATTACTATATCTTATTACTATATATTTCCAACTTAAGACAATGGCCTAACCTATATACTAGAGATGGGCAACTCAATGTTACAAGAGGGTCAACTTTTAGAACATTAAAATTTAACAGCCCGAGAACATAGAAAGCAAAAAATGGTTTAATTATTTATACATGTGGTATTTATTAATTTTAAAATGGTACTTGGGCCAGATATAGCCCCGTGGCCACTAGTTGTCCATCCCTGCTATATAATTGTATACCATACAAAGTACCTTTGTTAACTTCTAAAATGTATTTAATTGTTATAATTTTTCCCAATGATTGTTGATATTTGCTCTTAAATAATGTAGCCTATGCCCTTTTTTATCAGTCCAATGACACATTGAATTGTTAAGTCATTAGTCATTACTTTAATGATTAACAATAATTTAAAAAATGATTTTAAAAAAAAATTGAATAATTGTTTATATTTGAATCTTTATTATTTAATAATTTGTGCAATTATTTAAATATTCAAAGGAACTAAATTTAAAATCATTTAATATAATATGCAGTACACATGAAAAGTTGTCAAGTAGTTTTAGAAATTATATACAAAATTAACATAATTGAAAAAAAAAAAATATATACAAATATTTTCAAATAGCTATAAAGAACTCAAAACAGCCAAAATATTTTAGCTGAATTAGTTAACTTATGTATTCAGTGAAAATTGTAGATAATTTATAATAATACAATAATTTATTACAGAATTTTGGAAAAAAAAGAACATCTATTCTATTATTTTATTTCACAATTTATTTGAACTTAAAAATTTTAGGAAAACCCATTGACTAACAATACTATGTTAATATTGTCAACTTTAATTTGATTAAATACATTTAAAGTAAATAAATATATAAATAAAAAATGTATACATGAAAATAAAATAAATGAATGAATGCGTGGCCTGGAATAAATTTAGTTTAAAGTACTCTATTGAAAGATAATAAAATAAAAAAATATTTTTAAGAAAATAATTGTATTGATGTTCTCTTACAAATTGTTAACTAACAAAATTATTACAAAAAAAAAAAACAAGAATAACAATTTAGTAATAAAATAAATTATAATTAAAAATCACCATGTAAACCGATCCAATCGGCCAGTGTTATCCATAGTTGAAATAAAAGGTCGATACAAAAATATCCACATAATAATAATATTAATAATTTGATATACTATAAACTCAATAAGTGCAGCTTTAATAGTGTAATTGTTTACATTATTTATATTGCTGTGTAATCTATACATAAGATATGGTACAACAAAATAGCGAGGCTCTAATAGAAATTGGGCACAAAGAATAAGAGGTGTAACTAACCAATAAGCTAACTTATAAGCAATTGATGACTGTGTTAGTTTCAAATCTACAAAATATAGGCCATATGCATACAATGGTACAGGTAAATATCTCAAAAATATTAATTTACCAGGACCAAACAACAACCGCCAGACATAAAATGTATAATGCCGGTTATCTGCCAGTAAATATGGATGAGCAATAGTATTTGAATACACTAACCCAAATGTTACTGTTAATAAGATTGTAAATAATATAATTTTGGGAATATTATTCTGAATTTGATTTAAGATGTTTATGATTTTTAAGTGTATAATGGCGGATTTAGAAGTTTGTATTTTAAAATAGGCTTGCGACAACAACCATGGCATAGAAAAACCTAACACAAAAACCATAAAATAACATAATTGCATTGGATGAAAAATAGGTGTATGTGCTTGTCGATCACCAACAACTATGTCACCATTGTTTAATAATACTATAGATATGACAAATGATCCAATGACTATGACATTTGAACAAGTTGAATGCCAACATTTTCTCAAAAAATCAATTAACCTTACAGTTTTATTATTTTTTTGTTTTACTGTACAGCAGTTGTATAATTCAGCAACTGAAACCTAAAAACAATTGTTAAAATATATATTGTATATATATATTTATTAATATTATTAACAATATATTTTTAATCAAGACTAACTTGTATATAAGAATAGGTAGACACACTTTTTTTTAAAGTAAGAAAACATTCTTCAGTGCAGTGACACACATCAATAATGGATGCAAACACTAACCATGCAATATTTGTCTGCCGACAAAGTACACAAAATCCACCTAATATTATTTCAATCCACAAATTTGTATTTTTATTTAAATGGTAAGAATACCATAGAAAAACAGATGCTGTTGCCCAAGCATCTGTATAATAAAGCATTGAATATGGTGCATAGATAACAGGAAATGTTGCTACATTCATAGCTAAAACTATATATGATAATTCTGCATTAGGCGATTTTATATTTTTTTTCTGTAACAAGAAATAATAACTATAAATTGTAAGTTATTTATGTTTAAAATAATATCACACATGTGATATAAAGATTGTGTTTGGTTTAACAGTGTATTTATTTTTATATAATTATAGTATATTGTTGAGAGGGGCTAAACTTTTACTTCATAGAGGTTATTTTAGAGATGTATTCAATACTTAGTGTAAACTTAGTTTAGATTTGGAGCATATCAGGGATCTATTGGTTTTACTATATGTATTTTTTTTTTTATTTTGGTCACTAAACAACTTTTATAAAAGAAATCTTGCTCTAAAGAATATTGTAGTACCTTTTTTGAAAGAAAATTTCCTCTAGTTGTTGTATTAAAAAGATCATTTTTGATTTTCCAGGGGGTTTTCAAAATAGTTGAGAAAAACTGGAAAGAAAATCATAGGACCTAAAGGTATCAAATCTTCATTGTTTAGAATTTTTGCACACTGTTTTCCACTAAAAAATATTGCTAAAAATAAAAAGAAGTTGATTTTCTTCCATTTCATATCAAGTCATTGACAGAGGAAGTTATTTTTAGATATCTAAAGTGGTTTTCATAATAATTCGGAAATATCAAACAATTTTTTTCAAATTACTGTTTTCATTATATACAATGTGTAAGATTATATTTTTCTACCAGACATCTTTGTCCAAAATTTCAAGAAAAGTATATTTTGTGAAAGAAAATTGTGTCTAGTTTGTGAGTAAGAAAATCGTTTTTGATTTTCCATATAGTTTTCTTAATAATTATGAAATACTGGATATAAAGCAAAGTGTATTGACTTTGGGTTTTTTTGTTGTTATTTAATTAAACATGACTGTAGAGACCTGTAGTTTTAACAAAATACTTATATTGGACTTTGGTAGACATGGTCAAATTTTATAAACATTCTAAATATTTTTAAATTATTTATAGGTATTTAATATTTTTGTGCTTTATATGTATTTTTATTTGGTAGATATCTGTTATTATAATTATATAATTTAAGGCTTTAAGAAAAATACTTGAAAATTTAACACAAAGTACATTATTATAAATTATACTTAGTGGTCTAAAAAAAATTTGAGTTTAATGATATTTATTTTTTTTTATTTAATATGTCTTCCTGATTTTGCTAGCAATGGTTTATTTTTGCATATAGATATAAATTAAATAATTTTATGTATCCTAGATTCCTTTAACTTAATGATATCATATTATAAATTTTAATTTTTCCTTGACAATATTTAACTTTTGAAATGTATTTAATATAAATTTATCTAATTATTGAATACTGTATCACTGTATACTGTATACTATCACTGTAATACTGTATTATGTCAAATGAATTATTGTATAAGTTTGTACCTGTTGATAATTCTATATTGAATATATTTTAACTGCTATAATGACTAACTTGTGATAATAACAGTTGACACCGATGATAAGCATAATATAGACATGCTGGTGCTCCCACTGCATTTACAGCTCGCAATGCAAACAATGAGCATGGGTCATAGTTATGAAGAAAATCATTACTAAAAATTCCAACCAATGATAATATTGAATTAATTATCGTCATACAGGGTAATAGTACAACAGTAGATAGTAAATAGAGCCCAGGTAGTGTAGTAATCTTTGGATCCCACTGAAAAAAAAGTAATTATTTAATCACTGATATGTTTTAACCAGGACTTAGATTTATTAGTACTAAAAAATTTAAAAATGGAAATTTATTTTATTTTAACTATTTTATATTAATGTTAGATTTAATTTATGGACTAATTAAAACTCCATCCTAATACAAGATATTATTTAATGAATTAGAAATTTTTCTTGTTAATTCACATAAATGACAACTTCTTCCTACTATTTTTATTGAATTCAAATGAGATTTATGAAAAACCCAAAATAATTCATATTTGCACATCATATTAAAAGTGATTTTTTTTTTATATCATGATATTTTTTTGGAGAATTTTAAGTGAATTTGATTTATGTTTTTTTTTTTAATCATTATGGAATCCGTTAAAACCATTTTAAATTTTGTATTCCTCTCCATATACTTTCAATAAGTATATACAGTAAAACATGTATATAATGAATAGTTATGGGATCATACAAAATGTTGGTTATAGATAAGTATGGGAAGTGGCATTGCAAAGAAAAAATTAAAACAGAAAAATGTTAACACTATAATAGCGAAGCGGAGAATAAAAATGAATAGTCTTTATGTTTTATATGTGTTTTTGGATATTTTTTTCCTCTCAATTAACTTTATCATTATTATTAAACACATAATCTATCAATCAGTATCTATTAGAATTAGACTAGCAAGATCTATCTTTGCCTATCTTTTTGCCGGGGACCTTATTATTTTTTCCATTAAGAGTGCTATCCATTAAGACAAGTTTCACTGTACTTTTGTTTTTTAAATAAGAACCTCCATTTTTGAACACAGAATATTTTTCTAGACATTTTGATATGCATATCACTAATACCAGATTTACCATTTATGAATTATAACTGTTTAAAAGTTAAACTAGAGAGAAGGATAATAAATTGCATATCTAATAACTATATTATTAAAAATTTCTCCAACACTTAAAAAATAGCACTAGAAATCTAAAATGCTCTTAAGCTTGATCCACACTTGTCAGACACATACCTACACACCGCTCTACAAAATATTCTAATATTTATTGAAATATAGGTAATTCACATTTTAAGTGTATTTTTTACAAAATACACTTCAACTTTTCATTTCATATTTATTTTTAAAATAGTTACTCGATGAACTTAGAGTTATTAATTAAACTCATCAGAAGCCATAAATGCCTCTATGCATTATCACACAAAAATTATAATGGCCATGTGTATGAAGAATCCTGCTGGAAAAACATTTCAAGTCCTATAGGCACCGATGTTGGATCGAAAATGTAAGTATAAGAACAATCAGTACATGTCTTAATACTATTTACATACTTTTATTAATGTACAACAAAATAATGTATACTTACATATTTATGCATTTTATAATACTGTTAAGTTTTTTTATTGTTTAAATAAAAAACAATCGCAATGCTGAACCAAAATCTATCTTTGTGAGAGGTTTTACTGACACCGAAATAACAACTGCAATCAAATGCATAAAATCTGGAAAAGCAACTGGATTTGACAAAATTTATCCAGAATTCTTGAAACATATTGGTCCTAAAGTCAGACTATGGAAAAATTTTACTCAGACCTCATAGGTAGCAACTAACTCCTAAGGTATTTCAAGAAAACTAAAATATTAGTTATACTTAAACCAGGCAAACCTAGCAATGAAGTACAAAGCTACCGAGCAATTGCTCTGCTCAGCGTCAGTTATAAGCTCCTTTTGACTACAATCGCATTTCGGACATAATAAACTCTGTCATCCCTATAGAACAAGCGGGTTTTAGAGCAGCAAGAAATTACTTTGATCAGGTTCTTGCATTAACAACCCGAATTGAAAATGGATTTGAAAAACAGCTCAAAACCACAACAGATTTGACTGCAGCTTATGACACTGTATGGCGAGAAGGATTGATTACTAAATTCCTATGGATTATACAATGCCAAACTCTCAGTAAATTATTAAACAATATGTTAAGCAACAGATTATTCAAAGTGATCATTGGGGATACTGAAAGTAAACAAAAACACATTGAACAATGGACTTCACAAGGCTCAGTGCTGGCACCACTATTGTTTAACTTATCCACTTATGATATATCACCCACAGACTCTGGTAAATATATATATATATATACTGATGATATAGCCTTGGAAGCACAAGCAAAAACATTTGACCTATATGAGACAACTCTCAACAAAGACCTAGAATCCCTAAACCACTATTTCAAACGCTGGAGGTTAAAGCCAAATCCAATTAAAACAGAGGTAACACTATTTCACATTAACAATAAAATGGCCAATCACAAAATCAACGAATTTTTTGATGGACAGGTGATTAAAATTAGCTGATACCCCAAATATCTCGGGTAACCTTTGATAGAACTCTTATCTACAAGGAACACCTGACAAATACTGCTGCAAAACTGAAAACAAAGAACAATATCTTCCAAAAACGAGCAAACTCATTATGGGGAGCGGATACTAATATCCTCAGAATATCAACAAGTAATCCCTAGAGGTTTTGTGGCTGATGCCTACCGCCGGCCATCCGCGTCTTAGCACTAGGCGCTACTTGCGGGCGGTTGTTAAGCTGGAGCGACGACAGCAAGCTGCCACCGGTCAAGGGTTTTCGGAGGGAACACCGGCCCCAGGCTTTTTAGGGCCCGTACCTTTCTAAAGACTGGGATGGGTTCCCGTTTGCCCACTAGGAGCAGTGGATTAGCTTTACTATCTCGCGCCAGTCCCGCAACCACCACGTTTCGGCCAAGTTAAGCTCCTGAATCTTGGGGGCACTAAGTCCAGAGCGGCCAGGCCAGTCCAGCTTGAAATAAGCCTCCTCCGCCCGTGGTACCGACTAGGATTTAAGTTGACGGCGGTGGGTCAACCCAAGACTACGTCTCTCCCACTATTTTAGCTCCTCAGCCGGCTAGTGGTAGGCCTAACAAAATATCAACAGTAGCTCTTTCACTATCGGTAGCTGACTATTGCTCACCAGTATGGCTACAAAGTACCTATACAAATAAAGTTGATACCCAACTCAATTCCGCTATGAGAATTACCGCTGGGGCGGTTAAATCTACCCCCCTAGCTTGGCTGCCTTTACTTAGTAACTTAAGTCCATCTCATCTACATTGATACAACCCACTAATATGAGAGTGGACTAAATGCTTTTCGAATACTCTGCTTCCATTACTTAATGATATAAATACAGGTCCTAACGTAAGACTAAAATTTAGGAAACCTACCTGGAGGCTTGCCTAAAAATTAATATCAGAAAAATTCAACATTAACATAGAATGGAATAATGAATGGAATAACAGCAATCCTAACAAACTCAACCTAATTAATAACCCAACAGTAGGAGTACCGGGCACTGACCTCCCGAGAAGGGAATGGGTACCATTAAATATATTCCGAACGGGCCACGGAAGGACAGGACACTTGCTCCACAAATGGGGACTGAGGCCTTTACCAGGATGTGACTGCGGACATGAAAAGCAAACTGCTACACATATCACTGATGAATGTAATATTCGACGATATCGAAGAGGAATGAAAGAACTACACAGTCACAATAGACGCAGTGCAAATTACACAACCAGTACTAGTCAATATATTACCTATATAGTCTATTATCATTTAGTTATCTTTTATTTATTTATTTATTTATCTATTTTATATTTATACCTACTTTATATTATGTTACTTATGTTAAGCCATACGAAATAATAATAATTGTTTAAATTTCAGAACCTAGGTACCTACTACTTGTAATTAAATTATACTTATTAAAAATACCTATAGATATTGTTGAGTTGTTACTACATATATTACTTTGTTTTAACTTACAATCTAAGTTTATTGTACTGTATAATAGAGTTAAATATTGAAATTATTGATTTCATGTTTAATGTGCTATGCGAAGGGATTTCAAGTTGATTTTAATTTTCAATATAGATTTTGCATCTCATGGAAAAATATGAAATGACACCCCTGTTATTAGTTTATTTTTTTTTAAATATATAAACCAGAATTGCCAATCAAGAATATTGTTAAAACATGTTAGGGAATTATAATAATATACAAACTTTGTAAAATTCTGCTTGGCAATAGCGGCGCGCTTGTGGAACATGAAATTCTTCATCTATATAATATTCATTGGGGCCGAACAGTGGTTGTACAAAGCACCATAATAGAAACCAAGTGACTGTTGACAAGAGGATAATAGGCAGGTATCTCAAGAAGGTATTTGGTTTCCAGTTTTTGTTAAAACTTAGTTGTTTCTGGCGGACCCTCTCAATAGGGTCCTTTGACTTCGTTGAACTCGTTCTGGCCATTAAATTGCTCGAACCAACTTAACACCTATACAAAATTATTTTACTTTATACATCAAATAATTAATCAATTATTATTATATTCCATATTACCTATTTGACACGAACATTCGACCACGATATCGTTAACAATGGATGCGTCAACATAATTGAATATTATTAATTTTTAACGATGATAAACAATGCATGCAAACGGAAAACCTGATTAATTATGACAACAAAAAACTGAAAAATGAAAATGTTAACGTTCAAAACTTCTAATATGAAATTATGTACTACAACACGAGTACAACACTAATACAAAAGTAAAACACAATTACTGATAACACTTAATCGACGCGTCGTTATAAATTCAGTAGATTACACCACAATCCAAAATGGTGGTCTATCTACAAATATTTAAGGGGCACCAAGCCGTTATTCTAGACGCGACTAGTTTCCACGGCTTTAAACTAAAACCACAAATTGTCAACTGATAACGTATAATAAAACCGGGGTTTTCATGATAAAATCAATTTATCGTGCGCTTTTGGCTATAAACTTATAACTCGTTAGCAGTTTTCAAGGTGCGCAGCACCCGGAACAGTATAATCATTGACCTATATAATATTATATTCTATAATCGACAGCCGATTTAGAAAACTACACTGGAAACAGCATTTATTCAGTAGTTCGGAAGCTCGCATTGCTCGCAACTGACCGCTGCGACCGATCGCGACGGCCAGCTGTACCTAGGAAACCGTACCTTTACCTGTATAACAATATACGTACCGCAAAATAAATACTTCACATTTCCCAAGGTGGTTTAAAAACTACACACCAGTATAAATTATGTATACAATATGAAAACAACAATAATAATTAAATAAAAAGATATAGGTACCTACTGACCTTATTTACCTATTACTAAAAGAAATAAGTTCAAAAAAATTATTAGACTTGCCCAAACATAAAAAAACTAAAACAGAGTATAAATAAAATGGAATAAATATCATTAATTAATTAATTACTAGATAATTAAAGAGATTAATTTGTTAGTTCTATCACCTACTTGTATGTTATAAGCTGGATATAACTAATTATTATTTTGTGAAATGCTCCAGTCGATATTTTACAAACGCTGATTGTTCTTTAGTATTCAAATTAAAGAATTAAATAGGTTTAAACCTTTAAACACTTAAAACTTGCGTATTAATAAAATGCTTTGGGAATGTAATATTACAATGTTTAATGATATTTTGTGCGTTTGTAGATAACTGCTTGGTGTCCATTACACAGATGTTATAGAGACGGATCGATACCAAAGGGACGTCTGCACCACTTTTTATATTTAAATTTCTTCCGATAACCACTTTTCCCAAACGACATGTTTCTCCTTTAACCTTTTTACACGACCAGATAACAAATGTGCGATTGTAAACTACCTACTGCAAAAAGGCAATACAAATGATTAAATTAAAGTCCGTCAATTTATTTTAAATTGTTCAAATTTACTTATAGTGTCCCACGAAAATATACCATTGTAATATCTCTGGAGATAATACAGATAATCAAAATTGTTTTTTTTTTATATTACTCACAGGGATAGAACTCCAAATATTTGTATTTTAGTTAATTTGTTAAGTTTTAGTCAAAACTTAAAAAAAGACGAACATACTTCGCACAATCGTACGATGAATGGACCACTGTTATAGATGAGAAATTGAGAAGGTAGAATATAGAGGGTAATTCATTGTAGGTATATCTGTAAGAAAAGCTGGGACAGAGTCCAAGCGTAACTCTCTATGGTACCTACTCAAATTCCTTTTACTCAGACAGTAAAATATTTTAGCTTAACCTTAGACCGCCAACTCACTTGGGCCTATCATGCATAAAAAAAGACTTCAACTAAATCTTCGACTTCATATGCTGACAACTATTCTAGTTAATAATAAACACACAAACCTAAATATGAAATTACTAATGTAAAAATCCCTCATCAAACCCATATGGACTTATAGTCTCTAACTATTGGACAATTGGGCAATGCCAAAAAATCAAATTTAAATCGTATTCTGGTTTTTCAAAATATTAAATTAAGGAAATTAACAAACTCCTCCCTATATGTATCAAATTATACCCTCCACACTGACTTTAAATCTGTGAAAGAAGAAGCAATAACACATTAGATAAGATATAAGAGATTCCACACTCGTCTAGCTTCTGATTCCAATTCCCTAATAAAAGCTCTTCCAATCAATATTATGCCTGGTAATCCTCCAAGGCGCTTAAAGTGCAAATGGTGTAGAGATCTATTGACGTAATCAGAAAAATCAAACAAAAATAATCACTTAAAAGTGTCATCAATGGTTGGTTTTTTTTAACAAATATTCATGTCATATTATTATTTCAGCTAATACTCTTATTGTACCTATTTGGAACATTTCCCATTACTTTTTCGGTTTTTTAAATTTGATAAGAAAATTCTCGAGAAAATCGAAAAATTATCTCCCCACGCTGATTTCCTTTCAGAAATAATGCCATATGTAGAAATCAGAGCTAGTCTTTTGTAAAAAAGTTGCGCAATGATAGAAAATAAATAAATAAACATCTTTGTAAAACTATAAGCTTTTCCGGTTTACTCAGAATCTAAAACTGAAAAATTATATTTGTTCCACATAATTTTTACTTGAAAGATTTTTGTTAAAATTTGATATTAAAATTCCTTTATAAAAAAAAAATAATATTACATTGAACTTACATTTTTTTTACTACAAAGTAAGATTTAAAATAAACTTCCTTAATTTTTCACGCGTTTAGTCTAATAATTTTACCACACACCTCGTCTAAGCCTAATATAAGTTTTCCCATTGGTCGAAATTTAATGTCCTTTTTCTGCAGTAAATATAACTCCTGAGGAAGATATAGGTATAGGTACGCCAAAGAAAAATAATACTATGGGATGTAAATGAAGCTGGAATAATAATTGGAATAAATACTAATCACAAATACTACTACCAAGTTCAAGGACAATTGTATGTGACAGGACGAAAATTCGGTATAATAGCTTATTGGATAAAATAGGGTATAGAGTATGAACAAATTAAAAAAGGTGATCAATTCTGAAATTGTCATATGTTTCCAAAACAGCAAAAACATTTTTAAATTGTTTTTTTATCGTAACTCGTGGACACATCACATTACAGACCATGCCTGTAAAAAATTCAAATTATATTTCGGAAAGGAAAATGACCAAAAAAATAAAACAAAAAGCGATAAGTTATTAAAAAATAAATAAATAAAACAAATTTAACTTTATTTATATATAATCATAATATATTATGTAAAAATATTACAATTTACAATAATATAAAATTTATAATCGTTTTTATTTTGCTATAATTCTATAAGAAATATATAAACTAAATTATCTTATACATCACAATTATATCTAACCTTGAAAACTATTTTGAAAATCGAAGTAGATAAATAATCAGGAAAATCACAAATACATGTAGGAAACTAGAAAACACGGTTTCATTATTTTCGGTTCGCTCTGGGGCGTAGGTATATAGGATTTTCTCGAAGGAGAATATATAAATGAATTTGTTCATGAGTACATAACCATATACCATACATATAATATCACAATAGTTTTTTACAGACATGAAAAAATATAAATACATCATTATGAGACCAACACGTTCTTCGCTTCGCTCAAAATCTAAAACTAATTTATTTCACACAAATACATTTCTCCTTATGCTCTGACTCTACAGCAATACGGTCGTGTCATAATTATATTGCACACTGTGGATACCATTTAAAATGTTTAAACTACAGTACGTTTCACGAAACTAGCGACTCCGTAGTGGCGCTTCCAATGGCGAAATTTCCGGTAGCGAAAATGTTTGACAATGGAAGGTAAAATTCATATCAACAGGGCCAGCTGTTCGATGGTTGATTGCCGCGTCATTTTTAAATTACCGCGCTCTTTTATTCACACGTTCACAAAATCCTCACAAAAATCTATTATCAGAAGTGCCACTGTATAGTATAGTATTATTATAGTAGTCTAGTAAAAACATAACACAATAATAATATCCAAATAATAATGAACCCTAAAATAAATGTGCGATAATGATGCGATCTTCTACTTATTACGATGATAATTCGGAGGGTAGCGGTATACTCATCAAAACGCACTCACACTAATGATCGCTTACGGCTAATACAAGGATACTGGGTGACGATAACGAAATTAGGAATTGCCTATATTTTGCGCCTTAGACATTGCTACTGTAGAGGTCCCTTCCGTTAAGGACTACTCTAACAAAGTAGAGTCCTGACTTCAAAAAACTTACAAAAAAAAATGAACACACAACAAGTATGATATTAATTAATAATGAAAAATATGTTAAAATTAAAAAAAAAAAAAAAACATTTAAATATTTTATTAACTATATTCTTTTTGTACATTTTGTCTATAAGTTGTAATTTAATAAAATATTTTATTTCCTAAAATATATAAATTTTTATTAAACAAAATTTTCTTTTGAAAAAATGTTTTGTATCTTACGATAATATGTGAGCCGCATGAGTCTATACGCCTCAGTTTGGCCACCCCTGTTATATAGTATATCTGTGTGTAGAACATATAGTAATCAATATAATTATGATTACCTATATAATAAATCTTTATACCAGTATTCACGACTTAAAATAATGATTACTAATGGTATGTTATATAGTATATTCACTAATGTGCTCACAAAATATATATCATCGAATAATAATGTTTTGAAAAGAAATAATATTTGGAAAAATAATAATAATAATTTGTTAAAATATATACACTCACACAATAATATTTAGCTTTAGCGGAGGGTATGGGTAGTGGATCAGCGGGTGGGGTAACGCGTGCGCGCAGAGTAATATTTGTAAAACGAAAAATATCATAATATTTAAATATATATATATATATATATTATAAAATAATATATACAATAATGTTAACGAGTTGGTACTCGAAAACGGTTTATATATATGCGTCATTAGCCGTTATCACGGGTAGGACATTATAGGTAGCCTTTATGTGAGGACTGGTATTATCAAGTGGTATACGATAGTTACCATTTATATTATCAATGGTTACAAGAGTCGGAGTGGGCAAAATAGGTCAATGAATAGGTAGTGTCTCGTGTTCGTGGTTGGGCTGCCGTGTATTGGGTGTAGCTCGTGCTCGTGCTCGTGAGTAAAATCGATCTTTTTATCCTACTCATGTCCATAAAAACAATATTATTTTTCAATAGTAATGTTAAAAAAATAGTTTGTAACTAGTTGTTTTCTCAATTAGTTTAAGTCGTACATCTGTTCTATGTTTATAATGTTTATTATTTATTCATTATTTTTAAATAATGTTTTATTAATTGTTTTATTTTATCTTTTTTTTTTTCTCTTGAATTTATTCTGCATTTTGTTTATATATACTAAAATTTTAGTTAAGATTTTTTTACTCTCTATCTCTAATACAAGATATTAACTTTTTTTTTTTTTTATTTTTAAAGCAATTTTATTTACAATCTATACAACATTATGTACAATGAGCAAATTTGATAGTTGATGTAATAAGTAACAGAATTTAGCATTTGTGGGCAGGCACTCAACAGCACCACCCGAAAAGATATTAACTTAAAAGAGATAGATTATCATGTATATTATTTAAAATTTTAATTCTTTGTAATTTATGATGATTAAATGAAAAATAAAAAAAATATATCCACCTACTAAATAATTTGTATAAAATTTAACATTTGATATATAGTGATGGTTAAAATAATTATATATATAATATAGAGAGTTGTTATATTTGCATCGTTATTAATGCGATAAAAATGTTAACATTTTTTTTTTTAGTTTAGCAATACATTTTCAGAATTTGATTAGGATCATCTTGTGTACATGTGAAACAAAAATTAATTTAAATAAAGAATTCAACAAATTTATCTTATCATAATTTAATACCTAATTAATGTTATTGCAAATTATTTAGTTACAGATGATTAAATGTATCTAATTTGAACCAATTTTATTATGTTCGGAATGTTTTTACATATTGTTACTGAGTACCTACCTATATATAACATGTATTATATTCAGTTATGAGACGTAATCATGAGAGTAAGTATTGTGGACGATTTATTCAATGAAGAGTTCATAAGACAAAGTTTTTTTTCATATTCGAGACTATTTCATAGGTTAAGGTATTTATACAATATTAAGCATATTTGTATTAAATTAAATTTTGCTTGGTAAGTAAGGAAATATTTTTTGAATAACAGCAATAGATTTTTGAAAGTTAGTTAAGCAATGAATAGACAAACTGAGAAATTATAATATGATTTCAGGAGCTGGGTTGGCAACATAGATAAAAAATTGAACTGAAGCGTAAACGTAAACGTAAACGTAAACAAAATTAATTTCTAGGAGTTGTGTAGGCAACTTATTAAAATAGGAGAGTACAATTACAGGAGTTAAATATGCATCAATATATACAAATTTGGAAACCACTGGGCTTACTTATCAAATATTGCTAGTGGAACCTATATAACCATTTTTCTTTTATCATTGCCTGTTATTAAATCATGGTGGATTACATCTTGATAGAATAAATAATAACTGAGAAGGTGATAACAGGCTTATTATCTTTGTATAATTCGTACCTCAACTATCAAGTTGGAGAGAGTAAACAAGGTGTAAGCATAAATTATTATTTTGCTTAACGTTTGGATTATTATAATAATTGTAATTTAGTTACAAGTTCTACCCTATAAAAATAATGAGAGTGCCGAGTGGGTATTGTGATTTGCGTGTCGAGCATATTAATGCCAATATTATCGATGCATATGTTAAACGTAAGTATTCTTTTCGTTTGAATTGTTGATATATCATGGTTTATGGCAGACACTTGTGTCTGTTAATATACCCAAACACAGATTCAAGACAATTTTAAATTTGCAATTCTGGCCATAGCTGCAAAATTAATTTTGTCAGGAGAGGAGAGTGGGTTAACATGTGTTTTTTTTTTACCAAATTGTTCTATTCCTAATTACGGGAGTCTCCTGTTTCTCATATAAATTTACAGGCTATGGGTCTAGTAAAACTATTGAGTATGATTTAAATATTTGACTGGTCTAAAATATTTAAATATCTAATTTATATTATTAATCACTGTTAGGTTAGATCAACCTAATTATTGTTTTGACTGAAATTGAATATAAAATCAATATTTAATATTGTAAATATTTTTTTATTATTTACTTACCTAATAATAAAGAATGTGTCATAAAATAAAATTCATTTAAATATTTAAAAAATTAAAATGTCCATTTGTTGTTTGTCTCTACTCTCTATGCAAAGAGCTTAGAAAATGTGTTTTGCAATGACTTATTTCTTGAATAGTGTAATATATATATATATATATATATATATATATATATAGGTATAAGTATAGGTATATATAGGTATATATAGGTATATGTATATATCTATATTTACTATTTATAATGTGTATTATAAATTGTTTATAATTAAGGTACATATTTTGCTGTTTAATAGATGGGTATTCATTAATCGCTGTCAATACTACAGTAAATTGTTCACTACTAGGAGTCAGCAGCTCAAATAAAAAAAAAAGAAAAATTGCAGAATGTAATGATGAAGTTAAAGTTAACGAAGATAAAGACTGGATACCAATTCCTAAATCAACAAATGTTTGTAATGTATGCAATTAGTATTATTAATCAGTATTAATTAATATTATATTTGACCTAATAGAAATTATTAATTTCTTTTGTACACAAACATAGGCAAAAATTAGATATATTAACCTAGACCAAACACAATGTTTTGTTTTCTCTCCCTAGAATTCATTATTTAAAAGATACTAATAGATATGCAGTAGTATGAAAAAATCATACTACAAGAATACAAGTGTTTTTATTATCAAAAAAATTGTTATGAACAAAATTTTCAACTATACATATCTATGTATAAAAAATATTTGATAGTAAATTAATTACTATGTATTATTGATTATTATCATATATTAACGTATACTATATACATTATACATATATACTAATAATTAATATTTAATCGTCAAAACTACATTAGTTAAATTTTATTTATAATGATATAGGTGATATAAAATAATACCAACTTTTTAAATTTCTCCAATATTTTAGGTAATGTTTTTTACATTCCCTAAAACATTCCCATTTACTCACAGGTTATCAAAACCACCTTGCTTTATGGTGGCTATATTTTTTTTTCTTAATGTGTATTTTTAGTAAAAATTTGTTGAATACATTTTGGCATTAAGCTAAGCCCATGCCATAGTTAAGCATTGGCCTATGTACACAAATAATATAATATAGTTTCAATATTAGTAAGTGCAGTAATTTTATTAACACCTTTATAGAATTTTACAACCGTAGCTACTTAAATATTTACATAATATTTATTATTTATTAAAAATGATTAAAAAGTGAAGCATTTCAAATTTGAATAAATATACAAATTTTTAGATGGGCTATTCGGGTCAATTGATTATTTACTAATAAAAATCTGGGTTATTAGCAAGCTTATTACCTTGATTCACCTAATATCATTCATTCACATACATTCAATAAATTATCATTTTATAATAATATAAAAACAACTGATAAATTCATAAAAAATTGCATAATAGTATAAATAGGGAGTAGGGGTCAACTATTTGATAAAGTAGGAATATAATCAGATAAAAGAATTAACTACACAAAAGAACAAGTCCACTTTTATCAATTTTGATTTTATTATAATTTTGTACCTACTAAAGAAGATGGATAAACCCATCTTGGTACTAATGTTAAATGGCTTTCGTTTTTAGTGAAAACCAAATTAGAATGAAATTATATAAATTTTTTTACTCATTCACATGTCGTACTATTAATTTAAATTTTTTTAATAAAAAGCCTATGTTGTAGTATTACATAGGTTATGTAAAATGGCCCCTTTCTTCAAGCTCCTCATTGTCCCCTCAAAGGTTACCATTCCACAAATCTCCCTAACCCATAATATTGGATCATTCAAGTACAGTGATTATAATGTTACATGTCAGATTATAGGTAGCTCAATTGGTAGTTGTCTGATTTTCTGGACAAGAACTGTCTCATCACATAGTAAAGTTACAGTTAGTTTTAATATATGTTTACAAAGAATTATAAATAATTTTTTCTTTGGATATTTCTTTGGTTTTACATTGATGTTTATTATTTTTTTATTTGTGAATTACTTTTCCACTAAAAATCTTGCTCCAATTTTCATCTATAGCATCTTCTTTAAAAGGAATTTTTCTGGGGTGAAATTTTAAGGACAGTCATTTTTTGATTTTTCTAATAGTTTTTCTAATAAATAGAAAAATGGGAAAATGTATTATTTTTAAATTGTAAAATTACAGCTTTTTAAAGTTCAGAATTGGTTTTTGTTAACAACGATTAATGTTTGTGTACATATATATATATATATATATATATTAAATTTCCCCTCTACCTTTCTAACTTTTCACCTACAACAATATCTAGTTAGTCTAGCGTAGCAAGTATGGTTGTCGATAATATTCTTATTTATGTATAATTTATCTTAATCTTTTAATAATCTTGATATAAAAACTTAAAATCAATAAAATAAAACTAAAATATTAGTCTCAGTAATTATTTAACATTATTTATTGTAATACAACCCAATATCTTTATTAAATATCTAATTTACATATTGTTTTAATCTTTTGTTATTTATTTAGCATCATAATTTAAAATTGACCATATTAAATCGATTAACAATACAAATAACAAATATTGGCCAACTTCAACAAACTGTAAGTAAAATATGTATTTAATTCATATGGGATGAGCCCAAACAAGATATAAATAAATATTATTAAAAATATACCTATTACTACTACTATTATTATTGTTATAAAAAAATTAAATAATTTTTTATTATTTTATTCTAGTTAAATGCTCGAAATTTCCCAAAATATAATATTCTTGCAGTTGAACCATTAAATGATCATCTTTTTCAGGTAATAAAATAATATTTTCATTGAAACTATAAAAAACATATTATTATAAACAAAAGCATCATTTAGACCAATTTATACCAGATTCACAAAAAACATATAAATATTAAGGAAAAAGCATTAATATGAAAAAACCACGAAAACTTAATAATTAATATATTCCAAAATTGTATTTGTATTTAACTATAGATAAGCCAAAACAAATATTATCCTAATTCATTTTCATATACAGTTTATCAAAAAAAAGCCTGGGTTATTAGTAATAAGTAATATATGGTTGGTTAATAATAGGTTTAAGAGTTGGTAGTTATCTTTTATCAATATATTAATTAATTTTAATATTTATATTCAAACAAAAATATAAATTATCTCTATAAACCTTACCTTCAATAAAATTTAATATATTTATTTTTGTTTTTAAATTAATAGTATTAATGTTTAGATGATATTATGATTTTGATAAATTTATAAACTACAGAGTTTCATTATAGAGCTTAGATTTTTTATATAAACAAACTTCTAATCAATTTTATTGAAATATGAATAGTAAATACCTATAATATAGAAATATTCTATATTTTCTGAATTTATTATTTATATTACATTTATTTTTGTTTTTTATATTTAGAACTTGGTCACTTCACCATCAGTTGACATAATCATTTGTAAAGTAAAAACTAAAATAACTCCAAAGGACTACTCAGTTGCAGTAGATAAAAATATTCATTTTGAATTATCTTATGCACCAATGTTAATGGATTCTGTTACTCGGCAAAATACTTTAACATTGGCGCATATGCTTCATATCAAAGGAAAATCAAAAGTAAAATACATATTACTTTAAGTTAAAATTAATTTGTTTACTAATTACATTTATTTCAGAACATAATCCTTACAAGTGGAGCTATAAATAGATTAGATATTCGTAATCCATATGATGCAATGAATTTGTATCCTTTGAATAAAATATTTGAATAGCAACAATAGTGTAATTTTATTATCTAAAATAAAAATGAACTATTTTAATTGATTATATTTAATAATTATTTATTATAGTATAAGAAACATTAAAGTTTAGAAATATATATTTGATTTGTAATGCACATTAAAACTTAAGATTGAATTTTTATAATACTAAATTATCTCTATAATTTATGTGAATTTTGTTACTTTATTTTACTGAAAAACAAAAAAAACAATATATTTAATATTAATTTGGATAAATATAACTTAACTATAAAATCAGAGGTTTTTTACTAGGTTTTTCCAGAAAGCAGACAAAAGAATCAATCACTGATTGCTGTCACTCAGTTATTTTAAAGAGCTGTAAAGTTGTATAAAATAAATAACATACAAATATGTTTAATTTTGATTAAATAAAATTAATAATTTTTTGGGTTTCAGATGGTCGAAAATTGGGAAAGTCAGCAATAAATTTGATGCCAATAAAAACAACATCATCTTAAGTCATAGTTACTAAAAATATTTCAAATAATATATGTTGATAATGAGTTCAATTTTAATTATATAAATATGTTTAGTATTTGTATAATTTAATTGTTAATTTATTTATTTATCACCACTTTAAAAGACCTATGGAAATTTACATTATATGTAGTACAAAATTAAAATAATAACAATAATGAAAAATATAAAGTATTTAAATTATAATAATTCTATTGTTCCTTTTAGACTTTGAGAGAGCAAGGAATATATTGGCTTTAAAATGATTTTTATTATTTTTTATTTTTTTTGGTGGACAACTTTTCTACCAAGAGTTTGGTTCAGATTTACAATGGTAGCACTTTTTCTGTAAGAAACTCTTACAAGGGAGATACTTTAGGAAGGTCAGTTTTTGATTTTACTAGAAGTTTTCCCAATGAATGGGAAAATAGAAAACATATTTCCCTTCTACTACCTTCCCAACTTCTCACCTATAACAGTTGTTTTTTCAGTAAATTTATTTGAAAAATTGTTTAATTTAAAAAAAAAAAATACATATTAATGTATACATTTTACATAATAGCATATTTTTGCTTATTTCATAATATCCTTTATTTTACACTAAAATATAAAATAAAGATAATTTATCTTTAAACAATAAAATAATTTAAAAAAAATAAATACATTTTTATATAAAAGTTTTAACATACATTTTTTTCTAATAAATGTGAAAAAAAAAACAAAAATAAAACTATTATATATAAAACAAATATATTTTTATTTTATTTAAAGACCTTCGGGGGGGGAAATTAATATCAATGACCACATATAATATAAACATAGCAAAATTATATTTTTAAAACTGAAATATTTTATTTTGTTTGTCATAATATTCTAAATATTTTTAATAACATTGTAAAAACATTTTTTGGCAGACAAATGAGTGTTTTGGCTTGTATTATAAGCTATATTATAATGTTATAATGAAAGAAAGTATAATAAAAAAGTTACAATCAATTAGTATCAGTAGCTGCAGATGATCAAATTTTTTATTTTGCTTCGTTGTGTAGCTTGAGCTGTCCAATTTTCAATTGGTTTTTTGAGTCTATATTTGGAGTGTCTGCACATTTTTTTATTGACTGAACTGCTTCTAAAAATTGAAATTGAAGAGTATATCAATAAGTATGAAAATGTATAAATGTATAAACTATTGTATTTATAACATATATAAGGCAAGGATAATGATTTATAAATAATTTCTATAATATTTTTATGTAATAAATAAATAAATAATTATAAGTAATAAATTAACATTACCTACTAAGATTTGCACACACTGGCAACATGGTTTATCAGATTCTATTTCAGCATAATATATTGAAGTATGTAATATGTATTATACCAGTAAATGACCTTGTGACTTAATGAATGACTGATATGTCAATAAATGTTCTATGAACTACTCATTAAGGTGTATATAATAAAATTTAAGTGTAACTTATAAAATAAGGTGTAACAGAGACTTAGCAAATGCAAAATGAAAAATTGATGCAAGTTAAACATATAAAAATAAAAAAAAAAACCCTTATAATTCAATTACCATTAACATTTTTTTGATGATGGAAAATCGTGCAAAATATATTTAAATAACTACATTATTTTTTTTTTTAGATTCTAAGAGTAGATTGGTTTTGCTAAGATGTTTATTTATTTTTTTTATTATCCTGTGTATAAAAATTTTACCAGAAGTCTTGCTTTGGATAATAGAGAAGAGTGCAGTCACTGTTATCACTAATTTGATGTATATCTGTAAGCAATGATAAACGATTCTGAGCGTAATTCAGTTAATAATGATGTTTTGTCAACAATATATATATTATATTCTCTCTATAGTTTCAATCCGCAGATTGGTTTACAGCCATCTTCCATTCTTCTCTATTATCCGCTTTCCTTTTCGTTTCTACGTATGAGTTGCATCCTTGGTCTTTAATTATTTGTTGAATATACTCTAGTCTTGGTCTTCCCCTATGGTTCTTACCGTCTATGCATCCTTCTATGATCAATTTTAGTAGTCCCTCGTGTCGCATTATATGGCCTATCGATTCGTTTCGTCTTTTAACTATATTTTTCCATATTAATTTTTCTTCTGATATCCTCTCTAGCACCTCTTCATTTGTTACTCTGTCCATCCAGCTTATTCTCAACATTCCTGTGTAGCACCAGATTTCAAACGATTCTAGCCTTCTTCAATTTTCCGTTGTTATTGTCCAGGTTTCACGCTCATAGAGGGCTATACATATGTCTTCAATAGATTTTTCATTATTTTTGGGCTAATGTTTCTTGATGCAAGAAGAGTTTTCTTGCTGTTAAATGCTATTTTCGCTTGGCATATGCGTTTTATTATTTCGCTATTATTTTTTCCATCATTACTGATGATGCTCCCTAGGTATGCAAATTCATCTACTTGTTTTACTGTCTGGTTTCCTCGTAGCTTAATCTGTATTCTGGTTACATACTCCCTTCCACAAACGAGTACTTTTGTTTTTTGTACATTTATTTTCATACGCAAATCCTTGATGAAAATTTTGTCCATAGTTTTAACTAGTTATTGTAAATCTTCTTCTGTTTCAGCAATTATAGCTATGTCGTCGGCGAAGCGCAGCATACTTATTTTATGACCATTCATTATTATCCCTAGGTTGGTATCCTCTTTTATCTTTTCTATTGCTTCTTGAATGTATGCATTAAATATAATTGGTGATAGAGTGCATCCTTGCCTCACTCCTTTGTTTATTTTCGCTTCTNTAAACATTAACTTCCAGTTCACATTATCAAATGCTTTTTCGATGTCCACAAAAGCTATAAATGTTTGCTTATTCTTCCTAATCCTTTTCTGGATAATAATTCTCAGTGCCAGTATTGCTTATCTCATTCCTCTATTTTTTCTGAAACCGTATTAGTCCTCCGTCAATGATTGTTCTATCTTGGATTCAATACGTTGGAATGTAATCTTTATTAGTATTTTTGATGCATGTGATAGGAGGCTAATAGTACGGAATTCCTCACATTTCTTTGCTGCTGCTTTCTTTGGGATGAGGATAATTATGCTTTTTATGTAATCCTCTGGCATTTCGCCAGTCGCGTATATATCTCTGATGATTTCGAACAGTCTGTTTTTAACTTTCTCTCCTGCCTCCTTCCAAAGATCCGCTTGTATTCCATCAATTCCCGCTGCCTTTTTGTTTTTCAGATTCTTCAGTGCTTTATCGAATTCCTCTCTCATGACTGGGTCCTTTTTATATTCTTCTTCGTTTGATTCGATTTCCTTAAGTGTTCCTCCCTCATACAGTATTTTTAAATATTCTTTCCATCTTTTGGCAATATCTTTTTGTTCCCACAACATTTTCCCATTATTATATTCTATTCCTCCTACTCTGAGCTTATACTGGCCAAAGAACTTTTTCACCATTTTATATGCTTCTTCCCTTCTTCCTGTTTTCATAAATGTTTCAATATCACTACAATTTTCTTTCAGGTACTTTTCTTTTGCTTCTTTCGATTTCCTAATAATTAAATTCCTCAATGCTCTATATATTTTTTGTCCTTCGGTACTGTTCAAATTTTTATATTTTCTTCTTTCCATTATCAAGTTCACAATTTCAGCTGTAATCCAGTCCTTTCTTGCTGTATTGTTTTTATGCCCTAGTTTTTGCTGCTGTTTTTGTGATTGTCTGTTTCAAGCTCTGCCATCTTTCTTCAATGTTTTGTGGTTATTATTATTTGGGTTGCTGGTAACGATCATTGGACCACAATAGAATGGTTGCACAACGAGTCACCAAAAAGCGGCCCCAAAGGTTCTTATCAAAAATATGAAAATCTCTCTGCTTTGTGATGTCATATAGTTGAAATTACCACAACAATTTTGGAAAATACTCCCCATAGAATATAATTATTATTGTGACAATAATCTGTTAATTCATTACCGATCCATGCAAATTTTTCAATTTGTTTTGTTTTGAACATCTGTATATTGCCGATTTAACAATGATGGTGAAGTCAGAATTGAGCGGATTGAATTAGTTTCGAAATCAAAAATGAGAACCGCAAGAATAAGTAAGCGGCTAGTAGTAACATAGCTAAGGGTTCAATATAAAAATTATTTTGGGAATATGTTTTCCGGTATTTTCCTGCGGTCGCTAATAGCACAGCGATATACATATATTGCCGAATAGCATACTTGTATTACGTACTCGTAATATGCAAAGAATCAAACTTGTTTTATTAAAATTTCTGAGTTTAGCTATTACCATAATATGAACAAATCACATTTGTGCCAACTGGCACTAAAATGTAATATTATTCAATGCTTTTGTTTTGTAGATTATATAAATCTTTTAATTTCTATAGTATAGACTATAGGCAACTTAATTTATAATGACGCCATTACACTATTTCTTATTAAAACAGTCCCTTAGCTATGATCCCCTAACTTCACACATGTACTTAAGAACTACAAAGAAAATCGAAAAACTACTTTCTTGGTCACTAACTAAGTTAAAAATTAAATAAAAAAGATGTCTTGATGTTCACCTATTGGAGCAATATTGATGGTAGAAAACATAATAAAAATAATGAGAGCTGAAATGCCGCGGCGTGCCGTAAATATTTGCCACTTTACCTATCATTTTCTTTTGGTTTTTCCCAAATATTTTTAAAACCTCTTAGAAATGTTCAATGTTTATGCCATAGCCCAGTGTTTGTCAACCACCATTTGTTGACCATGGGTAACGTGGTACTGAGCTGCGGACGATGGTTGAGGGTATAAGCCAAGGGTTGGCAAATTATATATTATTTATATTATTATAATATAAATGACTATATTTCAACCGAGATTTAGTAATATTCAGACATTATCGCTGTAGTATAATTTTATTGATTGTCGCTTTCTTATCTAGTTCTCTAAAATATTTTTGTCATTTTTATAGTATTTTCAACAAAGCTTAGTAAGTTTGTCATTTTTTTCAACTGGTTAAAGTTCATTTAGTTTAATAGAAAATTTAACTAAGTTAAAATATAAGTTAGTTTTTTAAAATTTTCTAAATTTCTAACTTAGAAGTAAGTTAAGTGAAAATAATAACTTAAGTTAAAGTAAAAGTTAGAAGTTGGTTTTTTTTAGTTTAAAATATAAATTGAAAAATTACATCAAATATAAAGTATTATGTAAATTATTTATTAAGTTAGTTACCTAACTTAAATTCTTGGTGATTGAAAAATTAAATTGAACTAATCAAATGTTTTAAGTAGGTAGATAATAACTTTAATTTCTTGGAAATGAATTGGAATATCATTTATTTACAACTAGTTCCATTTGTTTTAACAAATTAGATTAGAATATTTTCCAAATTCAATTCAACTAGTTAAATTACAAAGTTGTTATGAATAAAAACTAATTAGATAACTTTCTAACTTAACCTTAACTTCCTAATTAGTTAGTACCCAGCTTTGGTACTTTGTCATGCTTAACGGTGGAATATGGATACAGTGTATGATAAATTTAATCCTTATATTGACTCTTTCATGGGAGAAAATCGCATTGATTTTAATTTAACTTTAACCACTTGTTTATAAGTGAAGACAATAATAAACTTTCTTTTTATAAAAAAATAATTTTTAAAATTTCCTTGTATGGTGTATTTTCCTAATTACTGACATATGAAGTATGCATATTGTACATATATATATATATATATATATATATATATATATATTAGTCATACGTGCATAGATAGGTGTTTTTATTTTTACATTTTACTTGGAATATTAGTTTAGTGGGCTTCAAAGTTCTTTTTACAAAATTAGTAGACCGCACAATTAAAAAGGTTGGGAACCGCTGTCATAACCTATTAGGTATGGGTGTTATTATTTTATTAAACGTACAGCGGTTGTAAACTTTCACTATTTTATATTTAAAAATAAATACAAATATAAAATAGGGTATATTTATTATATTATGATATTATAATATAAATATCACAAATACCTTACATTATTCGTTATTGTATTCTTATCTGTTGGTAATTTCCGGCGTCGAATAACTACTTTATACTGTACGTTTAATAAACAGGTTTACATTAAGCACGCTCATGCACATGCCATCTATTAAAGTAACAAAAAAACCATTTGTTCTACTGTACTATTTTTTAGACCTAAAAATCTAAGAAAATGCCTTAGAATTAACTGATCTGTAATCTGTAAACAATTAATCTATTAACTTTTTTCTATGTTATTATGGAATCAGAATGTTAAAATTTTTTTCAATAATTCAGAATATTGGAATATTATTTTCAAAATTTCAAAAATGAATTAATAATTTTAACATCTAATATAATAAAAAAAAAAAAAAAAAAATCAAAAATCTATATTCACAATAACATAGAAATGGTGTTCATGTATTTAAGTTTTTTTCATAACTAAAATTGTATCACTCTAAGTATGTGCATTTTTTCTATGCTTATTGGTCCAAATGCATGAAAAATTTAAAATACGCGCGTATGCAGGCACCATAAACATAAACAAAATAATTTTGTTATCAGCACAATAACATTTTATTTGCACTGTTGCCAAATAGTATTTGAAAACACTGCTTCTTATCAATACATTTACCTCAGTTTCCACTTTCTGCCACCAGGAGACGGTGACAAGCTGCTGTGCTAAAGTAAAGTAACTTGTGTTATTGTAATTTGTGTATGTATGTGTAGTTTGTACTTCACTTCTTCTACCTATCTATTGATTTATATTTTTCTAACGCAGTAAGTTTCAATCTGACCTACTTGGAAGTCTGCGCCGATGTCGAACCTATCATTGTAATGTTAACAAAAATAATTTGATCTACTTACTAAATAACAAGTGAGACTTGCAGTGCATGTTATAAATAATGATAAACCTTTTAACTTAGGGTTGCCATAATTTCATAAAGAAAATCCAGTACGAATAGAAAAAATATAAAATAAAATTAGACTAAAAACTTTACTAAAACATAATTAAATTATATTAAATATTTATATACTTAATTTATATGTCTAAAAAAGAAAAAAGAATTATTATCTTATAAACGTACACATTATTTTTTTTAATCATATTATTATAAAACATATAAGTAATAAATAATTTGATTTGAATACTAGATATGTAAAGATTTATTCACAGATATATAAAAGAGTTATATATCTGTTGTTTTATTATCATTGTATTATCTTATATTTGTTAAAAATCGTATCGTTATCTTTGAATTACATTTATTATTCAAAGAAAATGTCGAAATTAAATAATATATATTTTTTCTTAAAATCAAGACATATTGGCAAACCAATATTTATTTTCGGCGTACCGGTATAACAAGTCAAAAACCAGTGACATTCCAGGTTTTCTGGGATTTATGACAACCTTATTTTAACTAGAACCTACATAAATCTACCATATTCTACCATTTAAAACAAACTTCATTTTTACATTTTTGTTTTAGTGAAAAATCAATCAATTAAGAAAAAACCAACCATCATAAGTACACCAAGACAACAAATATTGCCCATCTATGTACCGCAACAGCCTCCACCGCTTCCGCCACCACTGCCACCACCGCTTCCGCCACCACTGCCTCCACCGCTTCCGCCACCACAGCTTCCGCCACCACTGCCTCCACCGCTTCCGCCACCACAGCCTCCACCGCTTCCGCCACCACAACTTCCGCCACCACCACCACCTCCACTACCGCCACCACTTCTTCCGCACAATAATCAAATGAATGTACAATCATTCTTTACATCTCAACCACCAACACACCCCTATGGATTCTGGCCACAACAGGCTTTTCCCAATTCATGGCAAGCACAGTTCTATATGCCCAACCCTGTACCACAAACTAAAATTACAGTGACTAACTCTACAGCGAGTAATGGTAACTTGCCTACGTTCAGATTGGCTAACAATAGTACTATTAGATCACCTTCGCCAGGCTGGAGGTCGTTTAACACTAATTCACGTCAACAAATACCTTTTCAGTATGCAAATGCTCCAAGAAAAAATTGGGTAAAGTTTACGCAAAGTGCTGTATGTTACTAAAACTGAATTAACTGTATAATTATAAATTTTATAATTATCTGTATTACTTAATTGTTATTCACATTTGTTAAATAGAATGGAAATGTTTTCGGTAACTTACCACAAAATCCACAAAGTCCATTTTCATCATCACCACAAAATTGGCCACAGTTTAATCAAAGACCTCGTTTTATACCTCGGCAACACATACGCATGAACAGACCTCAAAATTATTTTCAAAATCAATCAAATGGACTTATTCAGGTTTGAATTTAGAATTTATTTATTAAGAATCGGAGTTAAATATAAGTTAAAAATTAGGTAAAATCGACCATGCTATAGGGTTAAGTTGGGTGATTGGAAAATACATTAATTTAAATCAAGGTATAGAATTAATACATATTAATACTTAATACACCATTATTCTAGTATATGTTTTAATATCCAAACTGATAATTTAAAATTATGTTCGAATAATGAATATTAGAAAAAAATACTACCTAATTATCAATTTTGGTTTTTTAAATTTATTTTTTAATATATTTTTAGTTTATAGAACACAAATAAATTTTGGATTTTTATTTTTTTCATATTATATGCTTTTTTAACACTGCGACCACTCCAGGTCTTAAGATTCACCGAAAATACATTTGACTTCAAATCGCTATAATTTTTAATAATAATAACAATTTCTAAAACACTTATTTATTTATTGATAATCTAAAAAATGATTTTAATGTTTTAAATTAAAAATGTTTTAAGGTACTGAATTTGAAAAATCACATTACGCCTTGCTACAGTTACTCCTGATAAACTCAATTATTATTTATATCTAATATAAAGTTGTTTTTGTGCTGGTTATAAAATTTAGAAGGCCGCTTCCATGCATTCTTTTATAAACTCACCATTAGTAAACGACTTCCGTTTAGCGGCAATTTTTTGTGCTATGATAAAACTAGCTTTGACACTGGCTTCTGAGTCTGATTAACGATGTAAGTTTGTCAATTCGAAGTTGTCCTTGTATTACATCATATGTCGATGCATGTTTAGTATCATAATGTCGTTTTAAATAGTACTCTTTCAACACTGCAATAGATTCTTGACAAATTAAACATACAGCTTTTTCTTTAACTCGAAAAACGCGACTTTCATCCGAGATTTTACATTTTTTACTCACTGACATATTATACAAATATTACGAAGAAAATATATGAAATCGAAACTTGTATAAATAAACGAGTATTATGCTCGTTCCACGATCGATTACAAACTAACAGGCAAAAGTCAATATTTACAACTAGGTAGGTAATTTAATTTATCTTATCGCATATTTCCGATAACGATGGTTTGAGCGTTATAATTTTATCGAAATAGAAATGAAACATACTACATTTCAAATGAGATCCCGGGCTATACAATATGACAAGGCGGGCCGTGGGTTGAAGACCCCTAATTTAGATTATTCTGTGAATACTCTGAGATTACACTGTGCAGAGTATTTATATCCTCGTTCAAAACCTACATGTGAGATAAGTGACCATTTTCAATTTTGTTATTGACAATACTCACTATGTTAACTATTATAATTTTTAAACGGATCTGTTATAGGTATAACAAATATTTCTTATTTCATAATTTGTAAATTTAGTTCTATTGGTTTTTATAAATTACTATAATTAGTTATTTAGGTATTACTATTTAATACTTAATCATTGTTTGTTGACCAATGGTTAAAAGTTGGTTAGAGGTGATTTCATGTGAAAAAATATTTTGTTGAATAAATATTTAAATTCTGTCTAAAACATTTACACAGGGTAATTTTTTTTATCATGAACTAGTAATTATATCAGAGGATTTTAAGTGAATTTAATTTCTATTTTTTCTAATCATTATGGAATCGTTCAAGCTTTATTTTAAAACTATTTTTAATGTTTTACCCCTATTCCATATTATATAAATAAGAACATACTTTTTATTTCCAATAGGAACCTTCGCTTTTGAACACTGATTTGAAAAAAGGATATTTTTCTAGAAATTTTGATTTGCATAACATTAATATCATATTAATAAGTTATAACAGTTTAAAATATAGCTCCTCCGAGTAGATAAGAATCATAGATAAGCAACTTATTACTCTTCCTTATTCCTCCGGTCTAAGCTTTAAACTGTTATAATTCATAAACGATATATGATATTGGTGTTATGTATATTGAAATTTCTAGAAAAATATTCTCTATTAAAATCAGTGTTCAACAGGGGGGGTTCCTATTGGAAAATCCAAAGTGTGCACTTATTTATGGTACATGGAGTAAGGGTAAAATATTAAAAATAGTTTTAAAATGAAGCTTAAATGATTCCATAATGAGTAGAAAAAACAAAAATCAAATTCAATTAAAATCCTCTGAGATAATAGCTGGTTCATGATAACAAAATCCGTATATTTTGTAAGTATATTATAAAATATTTTTTGATACATACCTAAACTCACTATATTTGAATCAGAATTATGAAAATAAATAACAATATTATAACTAAATAATTTACTCTTATTTTAATTAGATGAACTATCTAGTAGATCACATCGACCTAATCCTAAATATTGGTAAATGCCGATTTCTGACTTTTATCAGATGGGGCAAGATTCATTTTTAATTTAATTTTTCTAAATATTATTTTATACAATTTATAGGTTATGCCGAACAAATAGAATTGAATAAACATTAGATATATTTACATAATTGGGTTAGTGCTTAAATACTAGAATAATATTTAATAAATTATATGGAGATCTCCTAATGATACTGTGTGATTCGCATTGCACATCATGTGAATAAGAGGGGCAGATCTCATTTTATCTACTCTTTGTTTGCCCACAGATTATTTTTAGTGTAATCTCTGATTTGCACACATTTTCCTTCCCACATATACAGACTTAAGACTGTCAGTGAATATTTTTCATTTATTTTAATTACTTTAAAAGCTTACCTTGAAATCTTTTCATGAACATACGTGTACTTATTAAATTATTTGTATTATTTATTTTTGATGACAATTACTAAGAATATTTTTTATTGATTTTAATTATAGTTAAGTTTAACAATCTGTATTGATGAGTAATACCTAAAGCACATTAAATCAAATTTCTTGAGATAATATTTTAAATTATTTAAATTTAAACTATTAATTTCTAGACATAATTATGCATTTAAAAATATAAAAATCACTAAAAAAAATGAAAAACGAAATAAATGCTAAAAGAATACAAAATAAAAGTTTCACTTTCGAAGTATCTGTTACATAAATTGAATTATGTACTTGGAAAGCATTGTCTTAGATTAAACACATACAAAATAAATTATTTCCAATTGAAAATCGGGCTAATAATAATTCGAAAAAAAGTTTGCACGGGAGAAAAAAATGATGATGTCCTGGAAGTTGGATTGGGTATAGTTAATGTTTGGAAATGCCTTCAATTTTTGATAAATGGTCCCCCTCAAAGTTTTTCCTATTTAAATTACTAAATATAACATTTAGTATTTATTATAGTAACATTTTTAATCAGTAACCTAATAATTATTGAGGTTTTTATATCCCAATAAGAATACATAACTTTTTAAAATTAGTAGTACACTAAATTTTTATTAGATTAATAAATCAGAGTAATACTAAAACTATGTTGACTTATATCAAAATTTTAAATATTATATTAAAAATATTTATGTTTGTATAGATTGGTATTTATTATTCATTATTATTTATTTAAATTATTGAACAATGTGCATCTTTATTAAATATATGTGAATGCTCATTAAAAACTTTTCCTATATAATTTTACTAATTTGTTTTGTTTGGTTTAATAAAAAACCAAGGAATCCAATGCCAATGCTGTCATAGAATTCAAAACACAAAAACGTAAGTTAAAATCACAACAATCTGCTCAAAAACCATTATGGAACTATGAAGATGCAGTAAAAGCTATTGCTGCTGAGATAGAACTCAGAACACCTAAAAAAAACAAACAAATTATGATTAGATTTCCAGATCATGAAATTACTAAGCAAATCGTACAAAACTTCCACTCTGACATTAAATCTGTACATTTTCACACTTCATACAATCCAAGGTATGTATACTAACTTTGATTAATAAGTATATTTGTGTTAGAAAAAAACAAATTATTAATTGAATTTTAAAATATCAACTTTTAAACTATCTTAGGTATTGTTATGTACAAGTGCAACCAAATGCGAACATTGAAAATGTTGCACATGAATTAAATGAAACAATTTTTCAACATGAAAAATTATGTGTAGAAATCAAAGAAAGTGAATATAAAGAAAAACCGGCCCCAGAGTCCATTGATCCATATACGTATGTATTACTGATTACAACATAAACAAGTACTCTTAAAAATACTAAATAGCATTTTAATCATATTTTTATATTTTTTTATTCTAAATTCAAGTCTGAATGTATGTTATATCTATACATAATATATACTTATCAATGTAAATAAATATTTTAAATTTAATAACTAATATATATAAACAAATATTGAAAATGAGTTAAATACATTTTCTAATCATTATACAATTTTATTAATTTATTATTTTAGATTATACCTTGGAAATCTGTCAACAAGTATTACATCTAATGCTGTTAAAGATGAATTTCCAAAAGCTACTCGTGTTGATATTGGGTTTGCAAAAAAAATAAAGTTCACTAGGTAACTTTTATTAATACAATTATTTATTTAATATAATATTCTTTTATGATTTTTTTATATAAACAATATATAATTATTTATTTATTGTTAGATATGCATTTATTAAATTTCTGAACGCAGAAGATGCAATAAATGCATTTAAAGAGAAATATAATTTGGTTATTGATAGTCGATCAGTTGTACTTAGATTCAGACGTAGCAAGGGCAACTTAAATCTTCCTAAATTAGTAAGTTAACATTAATTTTATGTAGATTTCTCAGTATTTTTATTTTTTAATTTGGATTTTATTTTTAGCCAAATGAAAAAAAAGAATTTGACATGCAAAGTTTGCAGAAAAAAATAAAGTATCATGTACAAGTAAATATTAATTTAATTCTAATATATTTGTACTCAATATTGAACCAGCATTCATGAAATTATTATGTTTTTCTACTTTTAGGAAAATAGTGAAGATTATAATATCAATAAAATTAATGTATCAAAAGTTAAACTTGAATTCATGGAAGATAGTGATAATGAACAAGATGTAGTATATGAATCACACGTACCAAATACAAATGACATAAATATTAAATCAGAATATCCAGATTATGATGAAGAATATGAAAATTATAATGATGATAAAGATACATTAAATGAAACAAACCATGAAAGTGACATCACCATTCCTCCTGTAATTTATTTTATTAATATTATTTAATTTTAGATTCTGAGCAGAGCGAGGGATATTTTAGTTTAACAATAATATATTTTTTTTTTATTTGTGAATAACTATTCTACCAGCAATTTTGCTCCAATTTTCAAGTACGGCACTTTTTAAAAGTAAATCTGACTGGGGTACATTGAGAAATTCATTTTTTATTTTCTCAGCTGTTTTCATAATAAGAATCAAGAAAAACACGAAACTTACGAAATATATTATTTTTAAATATTAAATATTACAGCCTTTCAAAATATGTATGGCCAAAGTCCCCTAAATTCCCATCAGAATCTTTAGAAACCCTTACATTTTCCTCTGTATCCTACCTGCAAATTTCTTTTTTACAACAATAGCCCACCTATCCTGCAAAGGATGTCCATATATTTTTAGTGTACTAATAGTAGACAAATAAAAATAAAACATTAGTTTTATATATATATACATGCTTGTAAAGTTAAACTCAAATAGTTGTGTTTTTTTAGTTTAGTTATAATGAAGATTGCCAATTTAATGATGAATCAGATGATGAAGATGATATGCCATATACATTTCTACGAAAGAACCAAATACCATCAGAAAATAACAGAGATATTATTTTGCCATCAAAAGTAAGTTTTTAAAATTAATTTTGAACTTTAAAAGTTTACAACTTATACTATATAATAAATATCAATTTTAGGTAAACTATTTGAGAATGTAATTTGTTCAACCATTAAAAAAAAACAGTTTTTAAATTTCTATCATTTTAGATTCTGAGTGGAGGGACGATTGTAATGGTTTTACAAAAATGTTTATTTTTTTTTTTATGTGAACATTTTTCTATAAGAAAACTTACTCAGATGTATACAAGGTAGACACTTTTCTGAAAGAAAATTTTTTTTGAGTGTACATTATGAGTGTTATTTTTCGATTTTCTCAGTTTTTCAAATTAAATAAGAAAACTGAGAAAAACGGGAAAATGTACGAAATATATTATTTTCTGTGGAATACTTTTCTACCAGCAATTTTGCTCCAATATATAACGATAACACTTATTCTGCGAGGAAATAAGAGTGTGGTGGTACTTTGGGAAATTCATTTTTTGATTTTCTCAGCTGGTTTTATAATAAAAGTGAAGAAAAACACAAAAATTACGAAATGTATTATTTTTAAATATTAAATATTACAGCCTTTCAAAATATGTATGACCAAACTCCTCTCAGAATCATTTTTGATTAGCAAATATTAATCATTGCATATAGATATATATTAAATTTTTCTCTATGTCCTACCTGCCAATTTCTTTCCTACAACAGTGGCCCACTTATTGTGCAAAGTATGTTTATATATTTTTTAGTATAATACTTGCAGTCATAACTAAAATTAAATCATTGGTTCTTTGTGTATACATATTTGTAAAATTTAACTCAATTATTTGTATATTTTTTTAGATAACTGATGTTGATGATGATAATGATAGGAAATGGAATGATGTATCAGATGATGAAGATGATATGCCATATACATTTTTACGAAAGAACCAAATACCATCAGAAAATAACAGCGATATTACTTTGCCTTCAACTGTAAGTTTTTATTAATTAAACTAATTTAAATTTTTAAAATTGAAAACTTATACTACATAATAAATATCAATTTTAGGTAAACCATTTGAGAATCCAATTTTTTTTTCATTTATTATCAATAGTTTTACATTTTTAGTTTCTGAGTGGAGGGAAGAATCAAATGGTTTTACAAAAAATTTTCCTTTTTTATGTAAACACCCCTTTTCTGAGAGAAAATTTTCTATGGATGATACTTTAGGGAGGTAATTTTTCGATTTTTCCAAAAGTTGTCTTGGTAATTGTGAAAAACCAAAAAAAAAAGAAATATCAGTACAATATTAAAGAAATATTATTAAACAAAATAATGCTTAGTTAATTGTTTTAGTAGATACCAATTCGCCTTTATATGAATTTATAAAAATTCTTGGTGCAAGCAGTAAAAATGAATTAATGATATAAGCATGACATTTTTGAGTTTATTATTGACCTAACTTTCTTTTTTTTTTTTTTTAGATGATTTAACAAATTAAAAGAAAAATATACTTAACAATAGAAATAATAAAATATACAGTTGTCATTTTAAAGATGGATTAAGAGAAAATAAATCAATCTATTTGATTGGAATTAAAACTCATTTTTTTCATTTATATCCCCTGAAAAATATTTCAAGTATGCAGTAAACTATATTTTCCTATTAGATTCAATTATTACTTTATGTTTATATTAATTTAATGTATATTATTGATTGTTTTTTAAGTTAATGAGTTAATGATTTGTATGATTATTTTATTTTATTAATCGTGTCTTCTTCCTTTTTTTACAATACTCTGAACTCTCCCAATAATACCTGATAACCCTAGTCCTTTATCTCCATAAATGGTCATATCAGTTATCTTCATATCTTTATGAATTCTTCATTAATAGTTGTTAAAAGCGTTAAATTAAATATAAACTGTATGTTTTTTTTACAAAATAAATGTCTATGTTTATTTATATAAGCTTGTGTCTATATCAAACTTATACTTAACTACTTATAATTCTTATAATTTATATATTATAATTGTTTTATCACCAATAAATGTGTTAAAGTAGAATGTAAATGTTTGTGTTTATTTATATAATCTAGTGTACTCCAACTAATACTTTACTACTTTTATTTTATATATTATAAATCTATTACTAATAAATATGTTAAAGTAGAATGAAGTTAGAAAAAAGTTGTTTAATTTAAAGTAAATTAATTAATAAGTATTATTTAACTTTTTTTACTAACATAGTTATATGATGTAGTATGCATATTTGTGTAGTTAGCATACCAAAATATTATTGATATTAATAAATGAAATTTTAAAATTAAGAATATATTTTTTTCTATTAAAGGTGTAAGAAGGTAGAGAATACATCATTTCCACTAGAAAGAGAGACTTCTGTTGTTATTGAAAATAGTACTGAAATGGAAACTAGTATTATAAAACCCAAAACTAATACAAGTAATCAAGTAGAAATGTATTGTCTTGAAAAAGAAATTGAAAATTTAAAAAAAAAATTGTTTCTCATTAATCATCTTTTTGGTTACCATTCTCTTGAATCGGATAACAAATTGTTTGAGTTCTACTGTGGTATGTTTGATAAATAGGCATGCACATTGGGTGAGGGGGGGGGGCAGCTGCCTCTCCTGCGGGAATAATTTTTCTTCCAAAAACTGTGAAATCGCATTTATTGTTATATTATTAAATGAAATGATATTGTTTTTCTGTCTGAACAACTTTTCTATCAAAAAACTTGCTCCAAAGGATAGATTGTAGCATCTTTTCTGAAAGATAATTTTCTCTCATTAATGCATTGTAGAGATCATTTTCCAAGGGGTTTGAAAAGAAATTGTTTACACTTTTTTTTGCCCTTTTACCTAAGTAGGGAAAAATAAATGCATCTTAAATGTACCTATAGTCTGTTTCAGGAGAGAACGGGCCGCGTGTGCGCATGTTTACCCCTCCACATAACTTGATTTCAGCGAAGGCAGCCGATTGTCATTTCTTCCGTCGTCGGTTTTTGACTATACACCGCTAGGATATTTTGTAGAAATTCAATTGTTATTATTATCAGACATCGCGCATCGCACATTTTTTACCTTTGCTGTTTTATAACCTCATGATGATTTTTCAAATCGTAAACTGTCGTATATACAAGCACCTTCTATAATAATCCAGACTTTGTGTTTTTTGTATACATATTTATTTATTTAATATTTTATTGAACACTGTAGGTATAACACAGTAGGTATAGTACAGTAGGTATAATACAGAGTTATATATTTAATAAAAAAAACGGAGAAAAAAGTAAAAATTACCAAACGGTACAAAAAAGTAAACGCTGTAAAAATGACGTGTGCGTCACCACGGCAATTGGCGATAAACAGTGGACTATCGACAGTCAACAGTGCATTATTTGAAACGCAGTGTACAACACCTGCACCACTTCTGCGGTCGCCGATGCAGCGTTGTTGATAGATCCGGGAGGGGATAAATGGATAGTGTTGCGGCGTGGGGATGCGCTGTGGCGATTCGATTTGGTCAGAGAGCGGCCCGTTCTTTCGTGAAACATACTATAGAGACCTAGCTATTGCTCACTTGGAATTTAATCGAAAAATACTCCTAGATTTGTATACAAATTTTTCTACCAGAAATATTGCTTTCATGTATCAAGTGTAGCCTATTTTCTGAAAAGAAATTTTATCTTCATGGTTTAGGGAAGTTATTTTTGTGATTTTTCAATCGGTTCAACCGGGAAAACCCGGGATTAAATGTCGGAAAAACGAAAAATGTACGAAATATAGGTTTTAATAAAAAAATATTATTATCTTTTTCTTTGTGTACAACTTTTCTACCAGCAATTACGCTCCGATTTACGATGATGGCACTTTTTCTGAAAGAAAATCTGGCTAGGATGGTACTTTAGGAAGGTCATTTTTCGATTTTCTCAGAATTTTTCCCAACAAATGTAGAATAACCGGAATAAAACATGGGAAAACCGGTACAGCATTAAACAAATATTATTAAAGAAAATATATGGAGCCTATTTAATTATTTTATTATAATATTGCATTATATTGTTGACACTATCAACTGAACTCCGCTCAAAATTCGTTTTTTCGTTAGAAATGGTTTATCGATGCTTACAGATATACATTAAATTACCTATGACAATAGCAGCAACAATCTCCATTATCCTAGGACATTTTTTTAAAACTGTCTTTTTGAAAACTTGATATCAATTAACACAGGTGTTTTTTCGTTATTATTATATCGTTTAATATTTTAGACCTTTTTTTTTTAGTATTTTTAGCATAACTTGTATAACTATGAATAAAATTCAATCCAGAGTTCTTGCCTATTTGCATGATCACAATTATGTAGAGAATGTAGAAAATCGTAACCGACTGCTGACCAATAAACTTCCAAAAGCGTACAAAATCCTTCCTGGCATTCATCTCAATTCCTCAATTTATTTAGATGATGTAGGATACAAATATTATAAACGTGAGGCACAGGTATGATCAGTATCGCTATTATGTGAAAGACAAAAAAATTCAACGTATCCGAGATGTTTTGGCACTGCATCAATAAGCTATGATATGAATGATCGACAAATACGTATAATCAAGCCTCACGATTACCAGCCTGTTGAAATGAACTTAAATGTACCATCATTGAGACAAGCAATTAATATAAAGGGTCTTGACCCCACCAATACAACAGAAACAAATCGAACAATGTATAAAAATGAAATTATTGAGTAAGTTTATAATTACTTTTGATCAAGTTTGATTGCAAGAAAAATAACCAAAAGAAAAAAAAAACACGAAAATAAAAACCAAATTTTTTTTTCGAATTCGAGGCACGATTTTGCCATCATTAAGTAGCATTTTTATTTGGTAAGTACTCTGCGTAAGTACTCTGCGTGGATAAAATATTTAGACTTAAGAGAAATGTTTGAAAATTTGAATAAAAAATTGATCGCTATGCAGTATTTTATTTTATTTTTATGATAGTTTAAAACCTAATTTTGATAAAACTCATAAATATTACGGCCTTTTAAAATATGTAAACTTCGCTCCGAATTGTTTTTCGTTAGCAATAGTTTATCTTTGATTACAGATATAAATTAAATACCTGCATGTATCTTAATTAACAAAAATTCTGGATTTTTCAGAAAAAAATTGATAAAACACTATACACGGGTAAAGACCAGTCTTATGTTTATTAACATAAATGGTTCCCTATTAGATGAGTGGAAAACAGAGAATTATGTGAAAAGTTGGCTCGTTAACTGTAGTAATAAAAAAAATAAGAAAATTAAAATTAAAATTATATTATATAATATAATATATATAACTTCTTATTAAATTTGTTTTTCTCATTTCTTCATAGTGTAGGTATAATATATGTGTATTAATAAGTCCTCATTATATATATACAAATTACAGTGCGATACATTAGTTAAAAATTGCCTAGTGTGCAATTGCCTACAGTGGATTATACATTTATAAACTCTAAATCCACGATGGACTCTGAGGTTATTTTAAGTTTGGTTTATTTTACACGGAATCCGCGTTATTTAAATTGTATACTTTTTTTACAAACGTGGGTGAAGTTAGGAGCCTAAAGCTAGATGCCTTTTTTGATTAGAAATAGCGGCATGGCTGTTGTGTAATGTAATTTGAATTACCTATACCTCAGAAATTAAAGGGGTAATACAAGGAGTTGTACAAAGCAAGAATACTCAATAGTTATAAATTTAATGCTAAATGGCGCAAGTGTACCTCATTGGGATAAATCTAATTAATTTTACTATTCCGTTTGTAACAGCTAAACTGAAAAATTACAGTGATCAATTGTTTATCATTTATCGTTAGTGTTATCAATTATCGCAAATCGTTGTTTGGTAAATAATTCACATTTTATTTTCGTTATCTATATCTATTAAACTGTGGATGCCTTTAAAAAAAAAAAATTAGCATTCTCATTACAAAACACATTTTTTGTCATGATACTAGGTACCCATTTTTGTTTTACTGTTTTTCAATTTACAAGAGATCCGAACATACAAGTGTACTATTTGCTTACAAAATTATCTCCGAGATAAATGCTGACTTATAAATTCTTTAGAGTTTTGTGAGTTTATTAGTTTAAATCTAAAGTATTAATTAATCATTTTGTAATAAAAATTGTGTTAAAAGACATTCGATATTATTTGCGCACATACATAGATTGGATGGTCAGATCTAATCTTTTTAAATTAACATAAAATAATAAATTATTATATTTTAATTATTCATTGTATTGTACAGTTCTGTTAGCTGTGCAATGCTCTGAGTGCCCATCCTCATATACACATACTAAACACTATATTTTATAATTCAAACTATTCATATTATTATTTTTTTCTGATAATCATTAGATTGTAATATTTAGTTATAACATAGAAAGCTAATCGTCTATCGTTATATTTAAAATGTTTTTCATTCTTTTTTTTCTATCTAACAAATCAAGGACTTGCATGCTTACTATAAACGTTTTTTGTATCTATATTATTGACATATTTAAAAATAATTAACTGTCATGAGCTTAAAATACTTAAAATAAAAATATTCACCCGTTTAAATGATTTAGTCTCTATTCTATTTTTACGCTGAATAGTAGGCTCAGACAAAAACTTTTCATGACCACCAGGTAAATTTAGTATAAGTGTAGCATCAGTTTTTAAAATTTTAACTCTTGGAGTATAACCCAACAGTTCAGATTTAAACCTCTAACAAAATCATCTTATTTAAAGTGATCATAGCATATAAATAATTAATTAGGATTCCATACATCATTTCGACATCATTTTATGCATTTATTCGACCATACTTTAAGAAGCAAATCATCCTTTGGAAATCTCTAAATAAAAATAAACGTCTTAAATATAAAGACTAATAGATAGGTACGCATAGTTTAATATGTAGTTAAATTAATTTATAATATACCTGTGAAAAGACAAATCGGTTCTTCCAGTATTTTTGGCTTTTTTCTGAATAGTATTTGCATAAAGCAACTGCACAACACGAACCATCTTTAGATTTCGGAGTTGCCATTAAAATAAACTAATTTAGCTGATAGTTCAGTGAATACTAAATAAATATTGTATTATAACATCCCCCGGCACTCTATGATTAACTCTATGTTTATATTTACGAGGTCTCAAGGACTCCACCTCGGTGTGTGATATTTATGTAATGGACCAAGGTAACCTTTATGGTGTTAACACAAACAAAACAATATTTAAATAATTTGAATAATCTTGTATTACCGGTTTAAATTGTACACCTTGAGGGGGTGTCTAGTCGAGGGGTAAGTGAAGTCTATGATGGTGGCCTGTGATATCTAAATGATGGCCGCTCCTCCCAGGAATGATGTTCTCAATGATATGCACTACTGCTCGATTCCTGACACTCACTGTCGCGTTCTTATCGGGTACGCGGCAAAAACTAATAGTCAGCATTTCGCCGTCTATTCCCCCTCGCCTATAGTACACCTCGCACCACCAGTGGGATAATGTACGTAGCGTTATAGTATTTTATGGTTTTCCTTGAAGATAGCAAATTAGTATACGATATTTAAATGCATCCAATAAAGTTAAAATTATCTAGCTAAAGATATTTTTAGTTAATTTAGATTATCTTAGATCATCAATATGCTAAATTTTAGTATGAAAAAAATATGGCTAATGCAGTTTTATGGTGTAACTTGATTGTAAATCAAGTTTGGTAGTTGTTATCAAAATATGAATATTATTGATAGGTATAACAAGTCAGTAATGCATATTCGGTATTCTATATACATTAAAACAAAACTTATTAATTCACTTGAAATCAAAAAAATTAAAATTTGTATAGGTATATAATAATAATAATAATAATAATGTGTATTTTAATATATTTTGTACAGCTACCTTGCTAAAACTTACCAATTAATTGTACATTGTCTTCGGTAAGCATCCAACTTACCTGTGTAGGTACTAATTAAAATTACTTATATGTTTGATCAATTATTAAATAAAATACAAGATCATAAAAAAAACCATTTATGACATAATTACCGTATTATAATTTTAATTGTTATAGCAATTGTATCGAAGTAGATACTGTATTAATATTACTGAAAAAAATAATGTTAATGGACAAATAAATGAATTTGCGAGTGAATAGTGATGGAGTGAATTACAAGTTAGAAATCTTTTTAACTTTATTCTTACATCGGCAATTTTGTACGACAACTGACGTCATAGCACAACTTTCCCACTTTCATATTTTTAAGGATTTCGATGAGACAACCTCAATTATCTATTAACCTTGGGCTTTTTCGACGGCGTATAGACCAGGGGCGTCCAACTTTTTGTGAAGACTGGGCCACATCATGTAAGTAGATATTGTTGTGGACCACATAATACCGAAAAATATTTATTTTGCATAGCACATATTAATAATTTTTACGGCACAATTACTTTTCTCACTACACAAAATGTGTCTTATTACACACTAAAAAAAAAACCTGGGCTACTGTTGTAGCTGAGAAGTCGGAAGGTAGGATGTAGAGGGGAATTTAATTTATTTTTGTACGCAACGATAAATCATTGTGAACGATTAATGATTCGGAGCGAAGTTTCTTAATGGCCCTTTAAAAGTACCATCCAGATAAAATATTTTTTCAGAAAAGGTACTACACTTGAAAATCAGAACAAGATTTCTGGTAGAAAATTGTTCAGAGATAAAAACAAAATCACTATGCTCGAAATCTAAGGAAAAACATTTTGGTATTAAATGATTTCTTATCAAACTTAAGAAGAAAATTCTTGAACTTATTCAAACATTTATCATATTAATAATAACTAATACCAGGTATCCATAAATAATCTATCGATGTGCACAAATCCGCTACTAAAAATATAAAATCCTCGGCACATGCGGATTACACGTATTGTATAATAGCCACTCAAAGCGATAAGGCCAATTGAAAATATGCAATTAAATTTGTGAAATGATGTAATACAGTTATGATAGAACTATTTGCAGGTAACTATTTATAATAATAATATTATATAACTGAAACTAATATATAGGTACGAGTAATTACGGGAACGCGCTCACAAGAAGGGATAAGGTTATCATATCCCCCCTTGACTTTTTCTTTTTCTAATAATGGATTTATACTTTATAAATTGTAGGTAAGCATCTTTGATGAGCAAAAACATTGATTATCGTATTGTTTCAAGGAGTATCTATTGTTTCAATTTCAAATATTTTGTAAGAATTTATACCTTTTAATTATTAGTTATATTTAAATCTGTCCTCTATTTATCCTATATCCCCTTCTGCTTATGAACATGTTGAACATTATCTGCTGTGAACGTAGATAGGTAAGGGGGTATATTATCATAGGTGAATCTACGGGGTGTTCCGGGTAGTGGCGTATTTGACTTAATTTTATGGAGGGAGGGATGACACTAAAATGTATAGACATAAGCTTATATTCTACCCTATTTATCTTATCATAGGTGTTTTTATTTTTATTTTTGTGTTTGATATAAATATAGTTAATGTATATAGCAAACACATACACAAATTAATTGTTGGAGGGAGCGATCGCTCCCAAAAGACAAGATTTGGTAGTTATTGGAAGGTGTTGGAGCCATTGCTCCTACAATTCTGTACTCAATGCATTGTACCCAAGTCGTTGCATTTCATTGAAGAGTACCGACGGTTTCCTATAACCCAACTTAACATCACTGAAAAGTTTTCTCCACTTTTTATTTTAATGTCTGTGTAAATATCAATTAAATAAGATTAATAACATACTTTTCGAGCGCCGGGTGTGACTATGATATCCGTGCTTTTGACAAGATCTCTGTATTGACCGCACTAATCAAGACGAGGTCACCAATAGTTAGGATAGTAGGTAGGTAATATGTATACTACTAACTTATAAGTAATTTAATGTACACCTGTAAGTAACGATAAATCATTTCTCACGAAAAACGATTTTGAGCGAAGTTCAGTTGATAGTGCTGCTTTGTGAACAATATATGTGTCATATTACAGTGAAATTCCAATTATTCAAATTCCAAAATTAAAATGGATCCCGTTTTTCGGTTTTTCGCATTTTTTGAGAAAACTCCTGAGAAAATTGAAAAATGATCTCTTTAAAGTACCTCCCCAGTGAAATTTCTTTTTAGAAAAATTGATAGGTTACATTTTACCTTTGTTTTTTTTGGTTTTTTATATTTGTTGAAAAAACTCCAGAGAAAATCGAAAAGTGTCCTTCTTAAAGTACCTCCCAACACCAATTTTCTTTCAGAAAAGGCGCTACACATAAAAATCGGAACAAGATTTCTGGTCGAAAAGTTGTCCATAAAAAATAAAAATAAAATAAAAACCTTTGTAAAACCATAAGATTCTTCGCTTCATTCAGAATCTAAAATACTATATATTATTTGTTAAAAAGCTAAAGTATAATATAATGTTTTTTTAACTGGGAGAAAAGCTTTTCATATTATTATTTAGGAACACAGATACCATTGATGAACCTCGTATTAAATGTTCAAATATTTCGGAACAGCTCACACAATATTGTATCCACATAAAACCAAATAATCACTAGAAAAATGTACATGTGTAAAATGGCTATAAATTGTTCAAAATTGCCAAAATGTTTTCAAGAATTTTACTACGTTTAGAAAAGACTAATATAACTATTAGGTATGTGAACGTTATAGGTCTCCGTGATTATTTTTAATCAAATTAAGGTGGCCACACACTACAGTGTTATTTGTCCGTGTACGGTGTACGATGTAGTTCGAACAACGTTCAACGATAGTGTGTGGGCAATAAAGCGGATGAAAAACACCGTACACTGAAACGGAATGAAATCAAATGTGTTTGATTTTCTGTCCATGTTCGGTGTTCGAAAAGAAGAAAACTGAAGGTGTGTGTCCACATGCGGTGTTCGAATTAAAACCGTACAGTTTTAAAAACGGAAACAAAACAAAATCTCATTTTAATTTAAATTTAAAAATTTAATTGAATGAAACTAAGTATATAAATAAATATAACTAAATAAATAAATGTAAACAATTATAATGGAATTTAGTCTAGAGTATTATTGATTAAAATATTTTCATATTGCCATATCGTCGATATATCTAAAATACGCAATGTCGCTGTCAGTCGTTCGTGAGGAGTAATTGATTTTTGTAAGTGAGTATCTTGTTTTATAATTAATGGTGTAACTAACTGAAGTAGTTCTAAGTAGGTTTCTTTATCCATCCTTAAATAATTGTGCCAATATTCAGGATGGAACAGTAATTCGTTTAATAAATGTATGTGTGAATATTGTGATCTTTTCAGTAGCCAATCTTTAGTCCATTTTCTTTTTTTTTTAGTTTTAAGCACCATTGCTACAGCAGTAGCTGCCAAAGCTAAATTTACTGTTCGAGAATTAGACGGCATAATATGCAGAACTGTGTACCATATGTTCTAACCTAACACCTTTAACTAGGTAACTAGAATGTTGCGATCTTTAGAAAAACTGAGAAAAAATAAATACAGTGTGTGGTCGATTTCGTTGTTCGGTGTTCGTTTTTAAAAACGATCCGTTTTGTTCGAACACCGTACAATGATACAAAATGGATAGTGTGTGTTGTTCATCGGTGTACGAACTATAAATGTTCGAACTACACCGTACACCGTACACGGACAAATAAAACTGTAGTGTGTAGCCACCTTTACAATAAAAACAAACAAAATCGAAAATAATAAATGAAACCGTTAATACCGTATATTCCGGTTTTTCCCAATCTGCAATCTACACAAAAACTACTCTACTCATTCAAAAACGATTTATTTACACACCAATCACACAAAATTTCTTTTTTATATTTCATTTTAGAATCTGAGTGTAGCGAAGAATGTATTGGTTTTTACTAAGATATTTATTATATTTTTTCAATAGGTTTTCATAATAACTGGGGAAAACCAAGATAAAATATCGAAAAACGGAAAATATACGAAATGCAGGTATTAGTAAAAAAATATTATGGCCTTTTTTTTCTGTGTACAACTTTTCTACCAGCAATTTTTCTCTAATTTACAATGATAGCACTTTTTCTGAAAGTAAATCTGATCAGGAAGGGACTTTAAGAAGGTCATTTTTCGATTTTTCAAGAGTTTTTCAAGCAAATGTGATAATCCGGGAAAAACATAGGAAAACCGGAAGAAACGCAGACAAAATGGGAAAATCGATACAATATTAAACAAATATTATTAAAGAAAACATATAATGCCTATTTAATTATTTTAAAATAATATGGCATATATATTGTTGACAAAACATCACTATCAACTCTGAATTGCGCTCAGAATCGTTTTTTCGTTAGCAATGGTTTATCGTTGCTTACAGATATACATTAAATTACCTTTAACAGTGGCTACACCCGTCTTTATTATTTTTCGTCATTTTTTTACTGTAATTTTTTGTGTGTTTTCTATCGATTGAGAAATTAAAAAAAATTATCTTCTAGATATAAACTTAATATATTTTAATAGATTGGTTACATAAAAAAATCTTGTATCATACAGTTTTAATAGGTACCTATATGTGTGATTCGAGTGTATAGTTTTCTGTTAATGATAATAATAATCAATATAACCAGCTCGTTTAATTTATAACTTAATACATATTTAAATGACGTAGACATCAATTTATGGCCACCATTAAATTATTAACATTTCAATGCCTGAAATTATTATAAGTTATGTAATTAGTCCGTTGGATTCACGGATATATACGAATTAAGAGGGTGTATTATACTTTATTTGTAATTTATAATAATTTATCAGTGTAGTTCTCATAGGGTATATTACATATTATAATTTGGACATTTTTGATGAAAAATTTCTTGTATATTGCGTAGGAAAAATAATTCATTGGAAAATATTTGGTCGGAACAGTATTTTGATGGAAAATAAGTCATCAGAAAGTATTTTGTCGGAACTGTTCAATATAATTTCATCATAAGTACTCCGCGACTGCATGTAATTGTTGCTGTGTAAAAATTATTTTCCGACAAAATATTATCAGACTAATTATTTTTCCGAAGAAAAAACTCCGATGAAATACGGTTCCGACAAATTATTTTTCTGAAAAAATTCGATTCCGACAAATACGTTTCCGTCAAAATATTTTCCCGACTAATTATTTTTCCGAAAAAAACCTCTTCGACAAAATACGATTCTGATCAAATATTTTCCAATATTTTACGCACTTACGTGTAATATAGATAGATACATAGATACATTTTGACCATAGATACCACCACATAATAAACAAACATAATAATAATATTTGCTTTGTTACCAACAATGTATTACAAAAATGTAATAATAAAATACCAAAATCCTTGTCAGCTAACCTTTATTGGATACATTTTAGAAACTTCAACAGCTTTAAACCTTATCCGGATCACGCGAAATATTTTTCAAAAAATCTCGTTAAAATCAATCCAGTAGTTTTTGAGTCTATAGGTCTATTTAATTGCCTTGGAAAAGTTGGTCACAGGAAAAAAGGCCGTAGTAGTTTTTAAATTATACCTAAATTTCGTACATATTCCCGTTTTTGCTCAGGTTTTTCTAAAGTTGATCTACCTAGTCAAATTTCCTTTTAGAAAAAGTGTTATCATTGTAAATCGAAGAAAAATTGGTGTTAGAAGTTTTTCATAGAAAAAAAATAATATTCTAAAACCAATACATTCCTCGCTTCACTCAGAATCTAAAAATATAAATATTTTTGAAAAAATTATTGGGAATTTTAAATTTAAAATTTTATGCATATCAAAATCTTTAGAAAAATATTATTTTCTGTCGTGTTTAAAACGGGGGTTGCTAATTAAAAGTCAAAAGTTTAAAAGTATATAAGGTTTAAGAAATATGGGTAATCACTTTAAAATAATGGTGAAATAAGATAAGGAATTCGATATAATTCGATAAGAATTAAAAAAAAAAAAAACAATATTTTATTTCTAGAAATTCCCCGGGAAAATTACAGGATCATGGCAAAAAAATCATCCTGTATAAGCGTTCGTGTGAAAACCATGAAAATTAATTCGCGAAAGTTTATCCATCGAAAATAAAACCGCGAAAACACTTATAATACCAACCGCGAATTAGATAACTTAATATTAATTCCAACGTCGATAATCATAATTATGTACTCGAGGATAGAAATATGTCATGACAATGTATGTACGGTTCAATCTTAATATTTGTATAATATAATACGTATATAAAACTATTATTAAGGGGATTTGAAGAGGTGATTTTCTGTCTTTGTCTTATACACGTGCAACATAAAGATTTAGATTTGTTGTATTTCTAACATATACCAATTGATCTTGTAAAGTGATAAGAATTTTGAAAACATTTTTGAATTTACCGTCAAGTCTATCTAAGATCAAATTTTCCACTTTTTTGATGTTTGGTTTTAATTTCTCCGAAATTTAAAACATTCCATTTTTATTATTACTCATTTTTTATAATGGTTTTTTAGGATTTCGGGGAATAAAATCAAAAATATAGGAAAGTCGACTTTAAATAGTCTTGAAGACAAATTTAAATCTGTTTTCAGAATTATGATCGCTTTACTAGACCAATCGGTACGTTGAAAATAGAACTTGTCTACATTTGTATGTTGCACGTGTGAAAGACAAAGACAGAAATCACCGCTTCCAATTCCCTTTAGATAAGAAGAAGATTAAGTAGGTGCATCATATAAAATATATTGTTAGTTTAAATCAGATGTTTAATAGCACGTAATCGGTTTATTCACTGTGTTTTCTATACGCATTCATATTTGCGGTAATCTTTATTATTTAAGTTACATGGAGTTTATTTTGATAATGAAGGCATACTTGAACTGGGAACTAGGTACTCAATGTCATCGGTTATTTTGAAGATAAACACGTGAATTGATCGGCTTAAATCAATAAGTATAAAATAGAAATATAGCAAAAGTTTTATAAATTATTCCAATTTAATAGCATACTACTTGGAAAACCACAGTTTATAGATTTAGTGCAAGTAAATTTGGTTCACCTAGGATCAATAATAATACGAAAATAGATTTTTCGGCAATTATATAGGTAGGTAATTAATATTTGTACATTTGATATACTATGCTCACATAACCTAACTTATTTATATAAATTATAAAAGTGTGAATAAAAGATTCAAATGCAGCCGATTACTTAGTATTTTTTATTAAAACAAATTAATCATTTAATAAATATAACGGAGCATTCGTTGTTCAAGAGGAATACAAGAGGGATACATACATTCCTTACAATCAAAATATTTTAAAATGGGTCAAATTTACTATATCTGCGTCAGCCCTTTGAGGACACGCCGCCACAGTTATATCTTAACATTTTCAAACAACATTCCTATAAATTTCATTATTTGTTATCTTTTATAGACACCGACGCGAGGACCAACGGAGCTTTTTAAACCATACACACGATTGAGCATATACCTTTTTAGCAACACGATTGAGCATACTGCGACGTTGCCACATTCACGTTGCTGACGTTTTATAATTTATTATTTTCCTATATTATTATACCAATTATTATGATACAAAACTTAAATGAGTTCACGAGCTGTGAACCAAGTCTAGTTTTATCTACTATGTTATCAATAGAAATAAGTATATTAAATTTAATATACTGATTGTTATAGATGATTATAGTGATCACTTACCATTCACCACTTCGATCACCTATAGTTATCGTGACCAGACGTACTCATTGCATTGTCCTATGTCCTTAACCATAGTGTTAAGTACATGAAATTGTACTTTTTTTTTAAATATTATAGGCTAATATATGTTTATGATTTTGTATAATTTGATTATTCATTTATATTTTAATATTTTATGGTTCGACCTAATGCATTCCAAACGTCTGTAAGTGACTGAAAAAGGTAATGACAGCTGAAAAATCACTGTTGAACGAACAAATAAAATATTAACATCATAACCACCAGCCACCACTTTTCAGGCGCGTTCTTGACAGGGGGCGAGGGGGAGATCCCTCCCTATGATCCATGTGATGTTCTTTATTGTTATACAAAATATCCATAATTCTTAAGTACAAATAAGTACTAATGAAACTGGTTTCAAAATTTAATACCATAAAGATGATTCCGAATCTAGAAAATACTTTGATTGAAACAAGAATTAAACACTTCTCATTTATACATTTCAATAAACATTCTTTCAAGGGTGAGATAGAATAATGGAAAACTAAGTGGAAACAATCAATTTGCAAAGATATAATAAAATAATATATTTTTATAATCAAAATTAGAAATGATTAATTTAATTTAAACTTTAGATTCTGAGTGTAATAAAGAATGTAGGTATTGGATTTATGTCACAAATTTCTACCAGAAACCTT